TGTATTAAGTATATCTCCAATCTAATTTTATTCTGTTGAAAATATTTAAATATATATATAATATAATGATAATGATTAGGTGTGTGATGAGTGACAACGAGCTGCATTTGAGGCATGAAAAACAAAACTGTTTATTATTGGTCTAAGTTATAACAATGTACCGGTTCAACCGAATAAATATCAAAGTGATTAATTTAAAGCTTAGATGAGCGTATAAGAGGCCTAAAGGCTTAAAGGACTTTAGACTGACATTTTTCTGGGTACCCCTGAGCCAATCCTCTCAGCTCATCCGAAATACCTGCTTATAACTCATAAGCTGCTCTGTGCTCATCATCTAAAATTAAAATGTTATCAATCGAAGTACTCAAATAGGTACTCACACAAAATTGTATGATTTTATTATAAAAAATAAAAGGTGCTCTGCTGTACAGTAGGTTACAAGTGGGTCCTGTATAATAGATGGTATTAAATTTGAATTCAATGATATAATATCAATGTATAAGAAAAACGATTCTGAGAGGAGATGGTATGTCAGTCTAGGTATAAGACATATTATATACATATCTATAATATTAAACAAAAAATTGACCTACAATGGGTACCTATAATAAATTCCAAATTAATCATATCACAATATCCATTAGGTACTTATAACGCGTTATACATCAACAAAAACCGTGATACTATCATAGATATATAATAGTACACTTTAGAAGTTTCAAGTACCCACGAATAATATTATACAATCACAACAAAACAACTAAAATAGTTATTCTAGGTTTTTTATTATGTAATTTCGTCCAAATTTGAACTTAAAATGACCATTAAAAAAACTGTGTTCATATATTTTTTAGATTTTTTGGTTACAGTATGACCTATTTATGAGAACCTTTGTTTTAAATTTGCAATTTAACAATATAGCAGGAGTCTTGTATTAAATTTTTACACTTTTTGGAACAACAGATAAAACTTAATTGATTTTTATAGAAAAAAAACTAAAATAATTGAAAAATGAAAAATGTCCGTTAACAGCTCAAAAAGAGTCAAAATATTTTCAAAATTGTGTGGTGTATAGGAAATGCTAATTTTATCAAGTATAAGAATTGATAAAATAAACATTCAGTGAAATTTTCATGTATCTACAGTTATTCGTTTTTGAATTACAACAAAATAAGAAAATTGTTACCTACATGAAAAATCGAAAGAATATCCAATTTTGTAAAAATTTGAATTTCAAAAGCTCATAAAAATTTAATTTGACTTTTTTATAGACATTTTTTTTTTTTTGATGAAGGTAGACAAACTTATAAATAATCTTGTACTACATTTTCGAATCTTAGATTTAAAAAGAAAAATTTTTATGAATTCTTAACTCAAAGTAATTTGCTAACTTTCGTGATTTTTCCATATTTTGCCATTTTTTGAACTTTAAATAATTATAAAAAAAACTGTGACTAAGGATTTTAAATTTTTTTCAAATATCATTGTAACATTATAGTAGGAGCCTTGCATTAAATGTTCAAGTATTTTTACTCAACAAATAAAGTTTTATTGACATTCGTAGAAAAAAAGACTAATAAAATTGGAAACTGGAAATGTTTCTAAACAGTTAAAAACAAATCATAATATTTTGAAAATTTTATCGTGTATAGAAAATGCAAATATAAACAACCAGTGAAAATTTCATGTATATACTTTCATTTGTTTTAGAGTTACACCAAAAACCAAAATCGATTTTTTGGAAAACCGATTTTGTGTAAAAATTCCCGTTTTTCCTTAATTTTTATGTTGTTTTTCCCGTCGCTATTGAAAACTATTGGGAATTTTAAAATTTTACCTCCCGAATGCACCAACTAGATTCACTTTCCCATCGAACAATATACTGTTGAAGAAAATCGAAGCAGTATTACTGCCCCAAACCTTGATGATAGACACAAAAAAAACACACATCATTGTAAAATCAATACATTTATCGTTCCACTCAGAATCTAAAAACTAAGAAAACGATAACGTTAAAAAATATTGTTTTGTAACAATAGTATTACAATAATTTCAAAAAATACGGTGGTCGGTCTGCAGAGTACGCACACACGTTTCTTCGTTTCCTGTGTGACCCACATAATGTGGAACAGTTGAATGTACCTATATTGTATAATATAAATTATGTTGAGCGTTTATTATTATTATTATTATTATTATTATTATTATTATGAGTATTGAGCATAATACTATAATGGCATTATATTAATATATTAAAATATTCTATCGGCGCACAAATTCACAAACGTGTACGCGCTACACGTCACGAATGACATTGATAAAAAATATCATAATATTATACTGTATGTCTATATATAATATATTATATTGTATTCAACAATGCAATATAATTATTTACTTATTATTTGTATGGACGTTTAAGAGACATATTACTATATTAGTATGCGCACCATACTCGAATACGCGTATTAGATAATATAATGTCGACTGTATCGTTGTAAATAAAATTATAATATTATCAAATTATAGCGGTACTTATATTAAACTATTAAAGTAGGTATTATTGTTATTATTAATATACGTACGAATAAAAATTATAAAAATACTCAAGTCTGCAGTAGGTAAACCGACAAATCGTTATTATGATGATGATTGATAATATTAATAACTAATAAAGTATAATTGGCCAGGTATAGGTTAGGTTAGGCTAGGGATTAGTGTTTAACTAATTGTTGTACGCAGAGTGCGGCTGATTGGCGTCAAGGCTATATTCATTATTCGCCTAGCCAGAATGTGTACAGGGTGACCAATATTTTATCATTTCAATGGATAACACAATATAATAAATTATAGGTAATGGTTATTGGTATTTAATATTTTATTATAATAAGAGTAAAAGAGAGAAAGATTATTCTTGCTCCGCCCGGATTTTTTTCTACAATAAACCAGCCTCTATGAAACATTGTTCTATACTTCAAAGCATATCTATTATTTTTTTTTAACTATGAGCCATTATGTATTTAAAAAGTCCTAAACCGAGAAAAAAATTGATTTCTAAAATTAAATAATATACACAGTTATTAGGTCTTAAACGTATATTAACAAAAGTTATAAACAAACTAAATTTTTTTGTATTTAAGATCAATAAAAAAAAAAAAAACCTAAATCTAATTCAAGGTTTCACTATTAGGACCATTGTTTTGAGTCAAAGGTTGGTGTTATAAAATGTTTACTTTCATATCATATGTAGAAAATATAATAATAAACTCAAATTGTAAACTGATGAGAAGGATTCTAAGCCGTATAAAGCATATTATAAGCCATTATAAAGCGATTATACAACTATCCTTTCCATATGTTTGTATATATGGTAGTAATTATATAGGTAGGTGGGTAGGTATGGTATATAGTAGGTAGTATAAATTGCATTAAAATAAATGAAATTAGAGCGACCAATGTGAAACTTTTGGTTACAATCGACTATAGAGTTTAAAGTGAATCACCAGAAATGTTTTAACAATATAATATTGTTTCCTTACTTTTAAGTCATAAGCCATATCGTTTATGTTCAATTTCCATAGAAAATGTGAGGTGACCTCTTGTGAATTTGTGCAAGACATTTAGACATTGGCAGAACCTGTTAAGCACAACTGGTGGAGGGGGGCTAAGATTCCTGATATTTTTTCTTCAAGTATAACCTATGCCAGATTTCACGAAAATTATTTTCATATTTATATAACAATGCAATGAAACAAATTTAGAATTATTCTTAAGTCAATGCTATACTATGATTAGTATTAGTATAATATACTGATAGGTTACACTAATATGGATTACTCAAGAAAACTTAAATACTAAGAAATATATAATACCTTTTATGGATCGGTACCGCCCAATATTCGTAGTTCAGAGTTTGGACTATATAGCGGTGGATCACTAATATCCCTGGATTATGGCGAGATATCTTGTCATCCGTAAAATAAACATAATTTTCGAAAAACAACACGAAGGTAATAATAATTTAACGGGAAAAAATGCATCATTAATTTCTGTTAAAAGCGCTTTGTATGTTAGCCAAATGTTTTTGCAAAACAAAATTTTTTTGTCATAGTTTTTCCATTTGCATGATTTATAATTCAGTGGTGAATCCAGGGGGGGCACAGGGGTATTTTCCATCGTAATTGTCCTATTTCTTAGAATGTGTTTTCCACTGTGGTCCAGACAGTGCAGTAGTGGATGTCCGTATAGTATTGATGTAGGAAATTGTTTTCTACTTTTGCCAAGAAAAATTTGAGCTCTGCAGGATCCGGCTGCAATGGTTTATAGTATGCCTATAGTTAATCGTATAGTATAATTCTAAATGTTTATGGCGTTTATGTGCGCGTAGATTGTCGGCAATAAAAATGAGATTTGCACGTTTTAAATACAAGTACATAATAAATTGCATATTGCACACTCTATATTATATTATCGACTACCCCGACTCTTTTCACGTTGTGACTTATTGGCGAACAAAAACCCGGGACTGTGATCCGACGTTTGCACTGCCCGACTAAATTCACACGACCTCGATCGGGATTTAGGCCCGTGGGAAAAAACATTCCGTGAAGGTCAATCGGGAGGGTTCATGTGAAAATGTGTTATATTTTTAAACCTGAAACTATGAAATCGATTTTTTGGTTATCATCCGAAAAACGTCATTCCGATCATAAACCGCAATGGTAGGTAATTTTTTTTTAATTCCCATTTTATAATATTTTGTCTATTCACCCTGCAGAGTGTGAGCAAATGTACCATTAACGTTTGTTAGATAAAAATACACTACACACCTACACTAGAATTATTTAATTATTAACGTGCACCGCCGTGCAGGATCAGCTATAGTATGTATTTTTAATTATGACATTATTATATTTAAAATAAATCATATTAACATTATACTATATTAGGTACCACTCTTAATATTTACTATTTATATACATTATACATATATTATTGTATTAACTAAAACAATTTTTAGTGTACAATTTGTAAATATAGTATTCATGATTAATAGAGTTTTTTATGTTAAATTCTTCTGGTGAAAGTTTAGCTACTGGAATATCATCGGTTTCTTCATTAGTCCAGAAATGTTGAAAATTTAACACAACTGTAAACCTAAAAATAAGTAAATTTGCTTGATTAATAAAAAATCATTATCAGACGAAACGTAATAAAAGTAATCTTTCATAACGCTTTTGATTTGTAGCTTTTTATTTGTTAACTTAACAATTTTTTTATCTAATTTGTTTACTAAAAACTTATGCAATGTTTTAAATTAATTATATTTCCAGAACAGTATATATATAGGTCTACTTATATGTAGAATTTGGGACTTACGCCCCGAACAATTAACATCATGCATTATCAGTATACTATAAAATATACTATACAATATCATGATGAACAAAAAACTAGTAAACGTACTAAAAATGACTTAATCACTTTCAAATTTCTTATTACGAATCATTGTAACATGATATGAATTTCCATGATGTTCTTCTATAGATTTTACGTCAAGTCTCATACCCTGCTCATAAGTTTAATCTTGTCCCAGTCATATAGATTTATTATTTATTAGAACAAAATATATTGCTAGCGCCATAAATAATATTTTAAAATTTTTTCGTTTTGACTGTTAATTAGTCTATTACATAATGTATATATTCTCTTAGATAACATTATTATAGAATCGGTACATTATTAAATACCTACATTATGTGATCCCTGAACTGGTTATCTTTAAAATAGTGAACTTGTTTATTTGGTTTAATATATTATATTATTAAAATATAAATCATTATATAATAAGGGGAAATAAGGATAAAGTGGCCATTTGAGTTTTCTTCGCTATATATAGCACTGAAATCAAGGTAATTGATAATTTAAATTTTTAAATTTATTAATCTGCCTTGGATAAAATTATTCGGGACTCGGGAGCAAGGGGTTGTTGTTGCCATAGGCTTAACTAGAAAACCTAGGCTAGTAGGCTATTATCTAGGCACCCTAGTATTAAGTACTATTAACTACTAGTAGGCAACTGGCAAGTTATGGTATCACTGTTATCAGTCACATTATTTTTGTGCATCACATGTTCACATTTTTACAAATTTTTTCGATTTTTCACTTTGCTGGTTTTAGAGAAGTGCATCAGCTGGTATCTATTGGTACCTACTTTTGATTATTGATACATAATTATAAGGATTACAATTTTTCGATCTAGTGTTGTTTGATCAGAATCTTCTAATAGTTTTCTAACAATGTTTGTTTAAATATGCTCAGCCGTGTAGATTAGATTCAAGACCATAGATTTTAGTGGCGTAAAATAAATACAGCGGTTTTTATTTGTAATGTATACATTATAAAGATAGTATATATTATTTAGTTGTAATAGTTATGAGATTAGTTCTACTTCAACTTAGTTGTATATACTGTGCTTTAAAATATCATACAATTAAATTAAATTCTTAAAAAGTACTTTTGTAGTTTTGTGTATCTTTAAATTCGATTAAATAATAATTAGTGAATCAATAAAATGTATTTAGGTACTCACTTAAATCGAATAGATCCTTTAAGTGATAATGGAGCTATCCACGTAAAAGTATCTTTTATTTTATATTTGTTATTTGACTGAACCACTGAGTTCTGAAAAAAAAATAAAATTGCAATCATCATAAGCTTATTTAAGTTTAATTTGGATTATTATTATACTGCACACATTAATTATAATTAGGTTACAGCTGACGATTATCCTTAGCTTACTTCTTAACATATATTAGTGTGTATAAATACATTACTATTTGCAATCGAATTTGTTACTAATTAGTATGTTTATACGGTATTGGATTTTGAATAAGTATAATAATTTATCATTATTGTTGACCAGTTCTATAAGCGCTATATAGGTAATGGCTAAAATTAATAAATCTTCCTAATAACCTAATAATTTAAAAAAACAATAATCAATGTCAAACTAAATCGTATATAATATTATAATATATTGAATTGGCACGGTCCACTAATCTGAGAGAATCACAGTAAATTATAATATAATTTATAACTTATTATGATGTATTTGATGTTAGGAAAAAATATGAATTAATCAACACTTGCTTAAAGTTTAATTTTAATGTAACTAAATTTGTACTTGAGGTTCACTATCAAAATATACATGAAAACGGACAACGAACTATTTTGTGCAAAAAAACGACCAAGGTGTGTTGGGGATGGCCGATGGGAAAGGGGATATGCATGAAACTGCCAATCATGAATTTTAAATTTATTTGAATGAACAATAATATTGGGGTCAAAAAATATTGGATGTTAGGATGTTGAAAGGTCGAGCGCAGTATAACCAAGAAAAATAAAGTGTAAAATATTTTCATCTCAATTTTATAACATATGCGTATAGGTAATGATGACAAATAATAATCTATATAATAATATAATAAATATAGTTATGTAATTATATACTTATATACCTATATAATATAATAATCATATAATATATTTGTATATAATGCAATATAATAATACATTATGACGTTCACGCGCGGTCGTATATAAACGTATTCAAATGTAATTTCCACTGATGGCACGGAAGTCACGCGTGCGTAACAAAACGTACGCCGTGAGCTTCGAGAGCCTATGCCTTCGAAATTAAGTCCGATGGTTTCACAATCTTTTTAAAATCGTAAGCAAACTAAAATTTGTTGGATGCAAAGCAATTTACTAATTTACAATTATGCCTATTTTTTTTAAAAATAAGTCTGTATATAGGTACATCGATAGTACCAATATATCGGTACTATTGCGAAGCATCGAATATCTAAATTCACGCTATCGACGATAAAATATGACGAATAAACGTTTTAATAAACCCTAAAAAAAACCCCACTCACGTATGGTTCGTCGCCGTTGGAACAGCTGATCATGTGATGTTGTGTCACGTTCCTGCATTCCGGCAGAAACGTGCCGACCACTCGGCCGTCGTCGTCTCGGGCCTGGACCATGAACCCTTTGAACGGCGTGGTCACGCCGACGGACGTGAGCGTGAGGTTCACCAGGTTGCCTGGAACCACGGGCGTGGACGGGTCTACCGTCAGCCGGTAAGGGCAAGGTGCGCCCTGCGTGTTTTCCGGCCGGTAACCCGGGTGCCTGGGCGTCATGTCCGAGCACGCGATCTTCAGCATGGCGTCGGTGACGGCCCTGGAACCGGGAGCCTGGACCAGCAGCAGCAGCAGCATCGTCATCATCGCCCGCGCGATCGCCGCTACGATTGCCCCGGACGTCGTCTTCGCCCCCGCACGAAGGGTTTTCACCGCCATCGCGGTTACCGCGGTACTATACGATACGATATTATGTCCCCGTTACCGCGGTAGCAGCAGTAGCCGGAAGATTATTATGATAATAATATTATGTTGTTTTTATACGATGAGATAATATGATATGGAAATAAGATATAAAGGCTATGTCTCGAAGTCGTCCCTGCCCGCTGTGGTAGCTGGATAAGACGGTTTTAGGTGGTTAAGTTACCTACGTTAACCGCACCTATGGATCATAGTATTTCGTTCTGTGAGTCGTCTCGGAGCCCGCCGCCAACTACGTATGCCTGCGGAACAACAAAATTATTTTTTTATTTCCCTTTATCCCCCCCCCCCCCCCCCAAAAAAAACATATTTATTCAGTTGCTTTTTTTTTTGGTACTAATATTTATAGTTTTTAATTTAACATGATATACTTATAAACAAACTGTAATATGCAGGGAATTAATTAATAAAATATATCAAAAGTAACATATTTTGCATATTTTTTATTAATAATATTATGTGGTAAGTACCAAAACAAAGTCAAACATTTCTTTAAGATGAAAATGATAATTTTAATCTAAATGCATCTTGATATACATTATTATGGATTATGATTTGTATCATGAATTTATTTATTTATTGTTTTATTATAGTACTTATTTCTATATTTTATATTCTAAGCGGAGCGATGAATGTATGATTTATACAATGTTTTTTTAAAATTTTTTTTTTTATGTCTGTCATCGCCTTTTAGGACAGTAAAAATGCTTGGATTTTCTTAAACAGTATCTTTTCTGATAGGAAAGTGTATCTAGTTCTTACTTTAGGGGAGTGAAAAGAAAAAATTTCCCAGTAATTTTCAAAAGCACCAAGAAAAACAAAAAAAAAATTAAGGAAAAACTGAAATTTTTACTCAAAATCTTCGAGAAAATCAATTTTGGTTTTTGGTGCAACTCTAAAACAAATGATCTTAGGTACATGAGATTTTGACTGAATGTTTATATTAGCATTTTCTATATACCATAACATTTTCTAAATATTTTGAGCTGTTTACGGACATTTTCAGTTTCCATTTTTATTAGTTTTTTTTCTATAAATAACAATAAAATGTTATTTGTTGGTTAATAAAGCTTGAAAAATTAATAGAAGATTCCTATTATATTGTTTCAAAGGCAGATGAAAAAAAATTAAAAATCCGTAGTCACGATTTTTTTTTTTATAAGCATTTAAAGTTCAAATATTAACCACTCTGCTGTACAGTAGATGTGGAGTCATTGTGAGTAAATAACTGTCATGTATGTATTATATTTGAATTCAGTAATAAATCATAGCATACGAAAAACGATTTTAAGCGAAAACTGTCTGTCGGCCTATATTGGTATGATATATTTTGTAATACGTTTAAAATAATTTATTTAACTACATATTAGATATTAGTAACACAGTAGATTTAAATAATATTTGAAAAAACCATCGGGCTCGAAAATTACATTGTGATTATAAAATATTTACATTAAAAGTTTCTATTACCTATCCACGAAAACAGAATATTAAGAACGTTATTTTTTATAGCTTGAATATCTAATTTTGTCAACATTTGAACTTAAAATATCCATAAAAAAATCTGTTTAGGTATATATTTTTTAGATTTTTTGGTACATTACCTATAATATGAACAGTATAATTAAAAAGGTGCTCTGCTGTACAGTAGGTTACAAGTGGGTCACTGTATAATGATCGGTATTAAATTTGAATTCAATGATAAAGTATCATTGTATAAGAAAAACGATTCTGAGCCGAGACGATATGTCGGTCTAGGTATAAGACATAATATTATATACTTATCTATGGTATAAAAAAAATTGACCTATAATAAATTCCAAATTAATCATATCACAATATCCATTAGGTACTTATAACAAGTTATACACCAACAACAAACCCTGATACTATCATAAATATATAATAGTACACTTTAGAAGTTTCAAGTACCCACGAATAATATTATACAATCACAACAAAACAACTAAAATAGTTATTCTAGGTTTTTTATTATGTAATTTCATCCAAATTTGAACTTAAAATGACTATCAAAATAAAATTTGTTTATGTATTTTTTAGATTTTTTGGTAACAGAATCAACTGCTTACTTGGAATCTTGTTTTAAATTTTCAATCCTTCGATATAAAAGTTAAGCATTTTATAAATTTTTAAATAGGTACAAAATAATTATTCAATTTTTTTTGTGTCTGTCATCACCTTTTAGGACAGTAAAAGTGCTTCGATTTTGTTCGAAAGAAAAATTAAGGAAAAACGGAAATTTTTACGCAAAATCTGTTTTTGGGAAAGAAGATTTTATTTTTTGGTATAACTCTTAAACAAATTACCGTAGGTACAATTTATATAAATTTTCACTGGTTATTTTTTATTTCCATTTTCTATACATGATAAAATATTTTGATATGTTTTGAACTGTTTAGGGACATTTTCAGTTTCCCATTTTATTAGTGTTTTTTCTATGAATGTCAATAAAACTTTATTTGTTGAGTAAAAATACTTGAACATTTAATGCAAGGCTCCTACTATAATGTTACAATGATATTTGAAAAAAATTTAAAATCCTTAGTCACAGTTTTTTTTTATAATTATTTAAAGTTCAAAAAATGGCAAAATATGGAAAAATCACGAAAGTTAGCAAATTACTTTGAGTTAAGAATTCATAAAAAATTTTCTTTTTAAATCTAAGATTCGAAAATGTAGTACAAGATTATTTATAAGTTTGTCTACCTTCATCAAAAAAAAAAAAATGTCTATAAGAAAGTCAAATTAAATTTTTATGAGCGTTTGAAATTCAAATTTTTACAACATTGGATATTCTTTCGATTTTTCATGTAGCAATTTTCTTATTTTGTTGTAATTCAAAAACGAATAACTGTAGATACATGAAAATTTCACTGAATGTTTATTTTATCAATTCTTTTACTTGATAAAATTTAAAAAATATTTTGACCTGTTTTGAGCTGTTTACGGACAATTTTATTATTTTTTTAGATTCTGAGTGAAACGATGAATGTATTGATTTTACAATGATGTGTGTGTTTTTTTTTTATTTTTTTTTTAATTTTTTTAATTTTTTTTTATTTTTATATTTATAATGTCTGTGTACACGATAAGTAGTCGAAATAATGCTTCGATTTTCGACTTCAGTATCTTGTTCGATTGGAAAGTGAATATCGTTGGTGCATTGGGGAGGTCAAAATTTAAATTTCCCAGTAGTTTTCAAGAGCGCCGGGAAAAACAAAAGAAAAATTAAGGAAAAACGGGAATTTTTACGCAAAATCGATTTTTCAGAAAATTGAATTTGGTTTTTGGTGTAACTTTAAAACAAATTACCGTAGGTACATGCAATTTTCACTGGTTGTTTATATTTGCATCTTCTATACACGATAACATTTTCAAAATATTTTGATTTATTTTGAACAGTTTAGGGACATTTTCATTTTTAGTTTTTTTTTAGTTTTTTTTCTAGAAATATCAATAAAATTTTATTTGTTGGTTGCGAAAGCTTGAAAATTTAATAGAAGGCTCCTAATATATTGTTTCAAAGGCAGATGAAAAATATTAAAAATCCTTAGTCACAATTTTTTTTTATAAGCATTTAAAGTTCAAAAATTGACAAAATATGGAAAAATCACGAAAATTAGCAAATTATTTGAAAATCTAATACAAGATTACTCATAAGATTGTCTACCTTTATCAATAAAAAATTCTCTACCAGAAAGTCAAATTAAATTTTTATGAGCGTTTGAAATTCAAATTTTTACAACATTGGATATTCACTCGATTTCTCATGTGGCAATTTCCTTTTTTTGTTGTAATTAAAAAACGAATTACTGTAGATACATGAAAATTTCACTGAATGTTTATATTAGCATTTCCTATACACCATACAATTTTGAAAATATTTTGACTCTTTTTGAGCCGTTTACGGACATTTTCAGTTTTCAATTTTTTTAGTTTTTTTTTTCTATAAATATCAATTAAGTTTTATCTGTTGGGCCAAAAAGTGTAAAAATTTAATACAAGGCTCCTGATATATTGTTACAATATCAGTTGAAAAATATTAAAAATACATAGGCACAATTTTTTTTTATAAGCATTTTAACATCGAATTTTGACAGAATTTTCAAAATCTCGAAAATTATTAATCATCGTAATTAATAAATTATAAAATGTTCAGTTTTTATAGCTAAGGATTGAAAATTTAAAACAAGATTCCACGTAAGTAGTTAATTCTCTTACCGAAAAATCTAAAAAATATACAATCACAGTTTATTTTTATAGTCATTTTATGTTCAAATTTTGACGAAATTACATATTAAAAAACCTAGTTATTTTGTTGTGATTATATAATATTATTCGTGGGTACCTACTTGAAACTTCTAAAGTGTACTATTATATATATATGATAGTATCAGGGTTTGTTGTTGGTGTATAACGTGTTATAAGTACCTAATGGATATTGTGATAATGTGATATGATTAATTTGGAATTTATTATAGGTCAATTTTTTTTTAATACCATAGATATGTATATAATTTGTCTTAACCTAGACTGACATACCGTCTTCGCTCAGAATCGTTTTTCTTATACAATGATATTGTATCATTGAATTCAAATTTAATAGCATCAATTATACAGTGACCCACTTGTAACCTACTGTACAGCAGAGCGACATCCACTTACCCACCTTTTTTTCTATGAATATCAATTAAGTTTTATCTGTTAGTCCAAAAAGTGTAAAATTTTAATACAAGGCTTCTGGTATATTGTTACAATATCAGTTGAAAAATATTAAAAATGCATATGAACAATTTTTTTTTATATAAGCATTTAAAAATCAAAATTTGACAAAATTTATCAAACTTAAAAGTTAAAACTGAATAACTATTTTGTAGTTAAAAATTTATAAAATTTTCAACTTTTATATCTGAAGACTAAAAATTTAAAAGAAGATTCCTCGAAAGTATTTTATTTTGTTACCAAAACATCTAACAAATACATAAGCACAGTTTATTTTTATAGTTATTTTAAGTTAAAATTTGGACGAAATTACATATTAAAAACCTAATAAAACTATTTTAGTTGTTTTGTTGTGATTGTATAATATTATTTGATATATTAATATAAATTAAAACTTTTTAAGTATACTATTATATATCTATTATAGTATCACGGTTTGTTGTTGATGTATAACAAGTTATAAGTACGTAATGGCTATTGTGATATGATTATATGTGATATGATAATTTGGATTTTATTATAGGTACAATTTTTTTTTTTCATACCTTAGATAAGTATTTAATACATCTTATACCTAGACTAACATACCGTCTCCGCTCAGAATCGTTTTTCTTATACAATGAGATTATATCATTGAATTCAAATTTAATACCATCCATTATACAGTGACCCACTTGTAACCTACTGTACAGCAGAGCACCTTTTTCTTACTATACTTATATATTAGAGGAGCTATGCAGAAAATCTTAAGTAGATACTAACTAGATGACATTTTTAAAATTAATTAATAGATATAATTTTCAAAAAAAATTTTGTTTTTAAATAGTCATTACTCAAAATCTATAAATACGAAACAATATTAAAATTATCACACTATTCATAAATATATAAAGTAGACTTTGGGAATTTAAATATATTGTAAAAATAAATATAAATATTTATATTTATATAAATATAATACTTACCTATATTTAAATAATATATAATATGATAAACAAATGTTTGGATACGTTCAACTTACCTTGATGAGTATGCGCTGTCCTAATATGTAAGCAATATTACAAATAGCCGATTTGGCATAGGAATTTTAACTAAACCAGATTTTACAGAACATATTCAAGATTGAATATTGATACGATTAGAATTATAATAAACTATAAGGAATTCAAAAATATACATGTTTAACCTTACTTAATCAAAAGTAAACGATCAACGAATTACAGCATTTACATTGTGGCAATGAACCCATGTAGGTAGGTACACTATAATCATGTAATTCAATTAATATGGACAACAGTTGTTTCACTATGATAATGGTAGGAATAGTATTAATTGTTTATAGTAAAAATATATAGATAATCAGTTTGAACTTAATATAATTGAGTAAATACATTTTAGTATGTGTTACAACATCGTAGACGATGTCTCATTATCGATAATGGGCACTATCAATATAGTTATAATATATTGTTCGATAATTTTTATCGAAAAACCATACAATTTCAGGCATGTTACATAATACTGTAATCGACTAGTTGTTTTCATTCGATAATCGATAGTATTAATTGTTTGATATTTTAAATATCATATTTATCATCACTCGACAGTTCGACACTCATCACTGATTACTCATCAGTTATCACGAGATGTTGTAATTATGCACTATGCATTTAGACGTTGATTCGAAATGTTTACAAAACCATGAAGCATGTATATTAATGAATTAATGGCAATTTTTTTTTTACATATTTCAATATTTGAGAATATTTTATGATAAAAGAATATTTCGTATAATAAAGAATATATTTAATAAGAGGGAATAGGTCGATTAGTTAAATAGATTTTCGATATTTTGTACTACGGTGTTCTAAATAATATAAAATATAAATTATAATACCTAAATTATATGCCCGAGAATAGTGATATGCCGTATTATTTTTTATTATCTATAGTTATAACGACGATTTATATTAGTAATTTTTTGTATTATATGCTATATTTTAACTGCTATAATAATAGTTATTGGCATTTCTAAAAATACATTACATTTTACAATTAATGCAAATTATGTACTTTATTATTTTGCATAAAAAGGCATATTTTTAATTTAAGAGAATATAATATTAATACAAAAGTATATGTTCTGCTTATTTCATTATGATTTTTAAAGGATATTGGAAGAATATTTTCAACTTTTTAAGAGAATATTATTCCGGTGTCTACTCATCACTATAGTGTCTAGTTATCAGTTAAACCATTGATTTTATAGTATACTATTATAAAAATTATGAAATCAATGGTATAATATGTATGTCAGACGTTCATAGTACAATAGATTACCTACCTACTAAGAATTGCAACTAATTTTTTATATTATATTAGATATATCACATTTAAAAACTACGTATCTTATCATATCTCGGGCCATTGATTTAGATTTTGGATAGATAATCCCTTTAAAAGTTTAAGCCAAAATATGCTGGTACAAAATATATTTGGTGAAATATTTAAGTCTCTAGAGTTATTATTTTTGAATTATATCAAAATAACAAAATCGATTTTGTCGAAAACTAGTTTTGCACAACTGTTGCAAGTGATTAGGCTTTATCTTAAAAGACTTCTAAATAATTAGCATATCAAATATCAATCATTAAATACTTAGTTATTAAACGATGAGTCCAGAGTCTAGACAATACGTGTGGTTTCTAACACCTCTGTTACATAACTTTTTGATTGGTTTGGCAATTAATATTTCCGTTAAACTATATTATATTATGCAATGGTCAAAGAATTTTCTTACAAATATTTTTTTTTATTATTATCGCATGTTTTAAATGGATTTTTATATGAATGGTTAGTTTATAATAATTGGTATAAAATAAAATTGGTATTATGAATATTATTGGATATATTATTTTAACCTGTAATTTATATTTCATCTCTATATTTTTTATCCACTCGGATTAAAATTATAACCACATATTTTTTTATTTCTGCGAAAAATTGATTCATGGTCATCTGTAAGAAACAAAAGTTACTTATTATAGTTATTACCTAATTAGTACTAACTAGCTACCAATTTAACATTAAATATTTTTTATTTTTTATTTTTTATTTTTAAATTTGAACACCATTATAACGAATATTGTCAGACGAATCGAACAAAGTTTGAATCATAATATAAGAGTGGTCATTTTTTAAAGCCAACAAATTACACAGGGTTACCTAGTTATTACCTATATTTTTATATGCTAAAGTAGAAAATGATAAAAATAGTAAACATTGAATTTTTTTTATTTAGACATTAGACCTAACTAATATTTGTGTTTAAGTTACGACCATAATTCGGATGTTTAATTGTTGATATGCTATTTTTTAATTATGATATTAATTAATATTTATTATCGTAATTACATGAGACATTGTGCATAATATAAAAATTATATAATTAATAGTTTTATGTTATAACTATGCAAAATAAATTCAAAGTTATTATATTTTTTTTTAAACAACAGTTTATCAGTGAACAAAGTATTCAATTAATTAGCTTACTAATTAGTTAAGTACATAATTGTAATTTATTACATTTTATTATCATTGTATAATATAACGTTAAAAGTTAACATTTAGAATGTTCAATAACTGTAGTGAGTTACATAATACATTAGTTACATTATTTTTGAGAAAATGGAAATTCTATCAAATATCGTATCCTATTATTAGTTATTAGTATTCTTATGCCTAATGCTAACGAATAAGGTTGATTTAAATTTATATTTAAAAATAAAAATAAAAATTAGGGAGTATGCCATGGAAGTTTTGTGCTCAGAATTTGTAAACAAGGTCCAGTGCAGTATTTACATTAATCTGTTTGTCCGAGGTAAAACTATCATTACCTATAGGCTTTAAGTATATAATATATTTCCACGATATTATGCGAAAGTTTAAGTCCTAATCACTGCCATCCTGCAGCAGCAGGTTGGTATGTTACATATCAATATTGTTCACAACACTATTATTACGATCGCTCGGATCACGCGAGACTTGGATTGTTTCCTGCAAATCGTGGCCATTGATATTATTATGTATGAATATTATGTATTACGTTTATAGCCGCCGCTATTAGGTAAAATGGCTGGGACGTTCTATCGTCGTATGTTATGTCACTCGTGGCAATATAAATATTATGTATACATAAGGCATAGGGACACGTGGTGAAAGTACATTTTTTCTTCCGGTTCTTCCAATACGCGTTCCGACAGGTGTACCTATGGTTATGTCTACCGCCGCCGCTGCTGCAGTACCTAATATTATCTTTAATATTATTTTAAGTCTCGTCGCCGTCCGATCATGAGCGTGAACGCGATACCGATGGCCGACAGGCCTTTTCTGTCGGACTACACCGACGACCAAAACGACATGGACGTGTTCACGTTCATGTTTTTCGCCTGTTGCTTCGAACTGTTTTTGTTTAAGTTTTTCACCGTCTGATATCATCAATATATAATACAATATTAAAATAATAATACTACCGGCGTAGTGTAGACGAAAAACGCCGGTATAATCGAATAATAATAATAACCGAAACAACGACACAATAATATTATCATCAATTCATAATGCGATCGTGAGTGTCGTCGACTATATTATGTATATGTGTATATTATATTTCCCTCGTGCCACGCGACACGTCAAACTCTTGGATAACCGATGACAGTGTTATATAATGGTTTTTCTTTTCGGTTTTTTCAGCCACAAACTGCTGTGCATCCAACAGCGGGACATTTTAAACACCAAATTAAAAGCGAAAGTGGCGTCCAAGGCGGAAAATGATCGTAAGTACACGCAAGCATTTCATTACCTAAAAAATTATAATATACGCAACCTTATTTTTCATACATTTTAAGCTAAAATTATTTATGTGCATAGTTAAATGTTGTTTATACTTCATATTATTATAAATTATAATATACTTAGGCGTAAATAGTGTTTGAAATTGTAGATCAGGTCTATACTTGATAGTCTTATGATACTTTTAAATTATAGTAGTGAAATCATTAGTTTTTGGAGAGGGCTCTAGAAATTCTAGGGGTGGGGGGGGCTAAGCACCCCCAGCCCCATTCTATTTGCGCCTAAGATAACATTGGTACGTCACAAAGCATTGTGAAGTTTTAATTTAGGTTTTTATAACTATTGTATTTTATAATATAGTATGTGCGTTTGTAAAACTATAAGTTTTTTGTTCTACAGAAGATAAGTTCTTTGAAGTCCGCGATTATTTGGAACGGCTAGTGGAAGGGCTGGTGGACGGAGGCCTAGATGACGTATGCCTCACTCCCCTGTCCACCCACCCGCTATGTACGTAAAATCAATCTCCTGTACTCGTATAATATATTAAATTTAATGTTCGATAATTTTGTTTCGGCCTAGACATGTCAATATGTTGGAAGTACCACGAACAGTTGGCCACCACACTGACAGCAGCCATACACTCCATCATAAACGGTAGGTATTTATTATTTAGTAATAATACATGTCCAAACGGATCGTTAGAATCTATTAAAAACGTATTTAGCGCATTCGAAAGTGTAAAATGAACAGCAGTCTTATTTTTTAAACATTTAGCAGTATATACCTACCTATAATCTATAGACGTGGCGGCCGCTATTATTTTTTTGGTTCACTGCTAATGCCTTAAACGTTAATATTTCAATTCAATATATTTTCTTTTTAGTAAAAAATATGTACCTAACCTATATTATATTAGTATACACTTTTTTTAGAGTCTGATGAGTTTGACGACATTCCCATAAAATTAAATACAATTTTGGAAGAAGTGTCTTATGACGTAGAACATCTTCCAGAACTACAGGTCAGTTTTTACGGTGATTGTTTCGAATATTTTATCTTCCACACATAATATAATAACTGCCACGGAAACCAATATACAAATTATTATTATTATTATTAATAAATAAGTACTTAAAAGTTAAAACTCTCTATTATTTAAAAAAAACTTTTGTAAAATTTTTTCTTTTAGATATTTTAAATTATAGATCATAAAATTCAAGTGATTACAGGGAGGGGGGTCACGGATTGAGGGGGTCTTAAGTCTTAACCCCCAGAGATTTGGTGAAATTCTAGTTTTTATTAAAATTAAATTATAACAAAAATATATATAGATATAAGATAGAACTTTATTTCTAAACCTAATTGACTTTAATAGATTTTGTGTACGAGTATTCTATACACTCTCTAATAATATAATATAATGTAAGGAAACAATGTACAGTTTGAAAGTAGATATCTACAATTTAAATTCATATAATAGGCGAGTTGATTTTCGTTATGTTAATATTATTCTACTCATTAGCGTGCTGCAAATGAAGCTATATGCGTAATGTATGCCATATTTCTTCGTTTTTAAATACATATATAATATATATAGATTATACTTTGAGTAGCGATTAGCGAATATTATACGTGAATCTCTACACAAAATGCAACGTGCAACTGTTGCACCCGTTGCACTAGTGCACTACACCCAACTACAACTGTTCTTACTAATTATTGTTATTATTGTTTTTCATTCATTACAATCTCAAATAGACGTGTAGTAGTATTTATAATAACAACTCATATTTCATAAACAAAGTAATGTATATTACTGGATACACATTATATACATTTTTAGTCAAATTTTGTGAATTTAAAATACATTTTTTCAATATTATAGTTTGAAAATTAGGTATAGCATAGCAAAGGATAGCATAGCATAGGACTACACAATTAAACAGTAAAAAAAAAAAAAAAACTATTTTAATACTATTTTTTTGTTATAAGGTTTTGTTTTAATAATCTAATGTACGCTATACAGGAGGTCCTTATAACTTATTTATATCAATGTATCATTACAAAATCGTAGGGCAAATACTTTCCTAAAAATATTGTTAAATACACAAGAGTTATACAATTTGAGTAACTATTCAACAAATGTTTTATTTTTAGTTTTTATTAATATAACAAATAAATGATAAGTAGCTATAGATATTTTAAAGTATGATAGCCTGCAGAGTAAAATGCAAGTGGTGATTTATAAAAATGAATCGTCACCACCCATCATCACTAATCAAAATGTGGATCACCCCATTTATGCCATACTATACCTGGATATTTTATTATATTAATTACTTTTCAAATTTATTTTGTGATGATTATTTAGCTATTTTTATGCAAGAACTATAAAATATTATAGATTTGTTTTTAATAGCATTGTAATTATCAATAATAAGTTCAAACCAGGTGTAAAAAAATCAATTTTGAATTTCCCACATAAAGAAATTAGTTTATATTAAAAATGAGAGAATGAATAAATGTTATCACTACAAGTCTACAAACAAAAAATATATTAATAATTCATAAAATTTAATTGTATACGTATAAATCTTTTAAGGCTGCCCAGAAAAAGTGCGCTGTTCCATTGGCGGAAGATTTAAACGAAAAAAATTACGAAGATCTCTTGGCCACTGCTATATTAAACAAGGTACGCTATATATTTCCTTTACCCTATATAGTATTTACTTCCGTATAGGTATTTGTATTAAATACATTACACGATGTTATGTGGAAACCCTTTTTCGTTCATACTAAGCTTGGATATGGCTTCCTGCCATTCATTCCTTTATAGTTTAGAAGGCAGTTGCTTGTTCAACTGTCACACTGCTCTAATAATAACTATGTTTGTAAGTTATAAAGGGTTGTTTTTTATCACATATTTGATTAATTTTATTTTTATTACAGATTGTCGCCAACAGCCAGACAAAGAAAAAAGTCCCAGTTGCGAGGACTCGAATTTCTAAATTTCCTCCTAAGCAAACGGGTATGTATTTTTTTTCCAACACAATGTCAAATTTGAAATTGACGTGAAAATATTACATTATTATATTGATACGCTAATAATATTATGTATGTAGATTCAAATAATCAGAATTCGAAAAAACCGGAAGAGCCGCGGAGGACCCCTAGAGTGTCTTTAACTGTAAGTCTCATATAATTGCTTGTAAAATATATTATGTAAAATATAAATTAATTATGTAGTTATGCATATTATTAACTGTATAATATAATATATGTATACCTAGTGAGTAGTTACGAACATTTTGTATTTGCCTAAATATGTTACATAAAATCATAAAAAAATACAGAAGAGAACTAAAAATGTATTATTGTATTAATGTGTGTAATGCATATTATATTATTCGCGTTTAGGTGGAAGAATTCACGGAAGAGGTGACGACGACCAGTTATAATACATACTCTGATATTGAAGGCGATTACGACGATGGGTACAACGAAGGAGACGAGGAAGACGATGAAAGATCGCAGTCGACCATCGGAATGTTCATGTCGAACGCGAAATTGCTTAGAGGGCACACGGCACCTTTGCCCGAATTCGGGTCTGATACAGTTGAGGGTAAGTGTATAGTATCTATGGTTAAGAAATCACGAGCTTTTTCACCCTATCTGCGTATCTATCGTAGTACGCGATTAGGTAATAGTTATACATTTATAATATATTATTTTATATTACAAGCGGCCTTAAAAAGAAATGTTCTCGTCGTTTTTGTTATCGCGAATATTTTAGTTATTTCTATGGTCTGCCGATAAAATATGTGGGCTCAATCAAGCGTGACACGTTCGTACGCTTTGTGATAAATTGATAATAATAATATGCTATTATTCAAAGTTCTTATGTTTTTTTTTTTTAGATAATATATTAGGTACCTATAGTATAATATATGGACGTTGATTTATTACAGGTATGCGTTTTAGATTACCCTAATGGAACTGTTGTTTTGACGTTATTTGTGGAATCTAATATTTTTTTATATTGCATACCTATATCGATAAGTTCAGATTGTCCACTATTACGTATTGATATTGAGTGCCGCATGCATATTCATATTTTATAATTTTTTACGTTTAGCTTTCACTTCTGCCAACGATTCAATAACGTCGCGGTCGGGATTGCACTCCATTATACAGTGCGTTCAATAGTGTATGATATATATTATAGTACTAATATGATTATATTTATTCCATACTTGTATTGGCACACAAGTCTCGTTTATTTGTTATTTTATCGAACCTAAAATTATACGAATCGATCTTTTAACGAGATCGTATAGTATATACACAGTATATTAAATAATAAACTTAACTTTGGCTCTATATTTTTGCTAAATACCGTCGTGAAACCGACTTATTATGATGCTCTCGTCGAATGTATTTAGCAAATACTTATCGATTTTTTTCAGACGGCAGCAGTACCATCGATCCCGACGATCAAGGAATAAGCGCCACGGTGGACTCGTGGGAAGACAATTGGCTGTTCCAAAAGAAAAGGGTAAACCGGATGTCCGGCTCCAATAATTATCACCATCATCCCGTACCCGTTCCGATGTTAGTGCCAAACCCGTCCGAAGTCACCAGGCCTCTAATAGGCGATCGTGATGCCGACGAAACGTCCGAACTGTCCGACTATTCGAATTCGGCACTGGACGAGCTGCTAGAACTCTGTAACTTATAATTATGATTTATTATTATCTCATATACATAATACATCGTTTGTGCATTTATTTGTATCACTATGTATATTTGATTACATTCCGAGGCTGTCAATATTATATTATGTGACGAATGTGTCTTTTTCGTTTCCGTCACACTTATAGCTGATTTCGAATCGGAGCCGCTGCAGACGAAACGTTCGGACGTCGACACAAACTCCACCGACGGTGGAATTTTACTGTTCGAAGGCCCTAGCAGCGAGGAGGACAACCCTCTCATCTGGGATCCCGTAGTGGAGGCTTGCAACAAGCACGTCGCACTTTCCCAAGTAGATTCCGGTAGGTCGTTTTAAATTTTGGAATATACCTATAATCTATAATATGTATAGGTACCTACTTATTGGTGTCGCATCGCGCAGTCGCGAAGTCTGTTTAAAATATTATAAATTTTAATGTATACAGACATTAATTTGTTGTCATTTTTTTATGCGTTTCTAGGTCAAGGTTCAATGGATCATCAGAGGGATTTTGATCATTCTATAGAAGTCAACGAAAAACCGGTGCCTAGGCCAAGGTAATGTAAAAAACACATATTTGCGTATATAATATTATTTTCGAATACACAATAATGTTATGTATAATAACATACTAGTCAATTGTTTGCCGTTTGGTATGTAATATATAATATATATGATAACTATTTTAATTATACCAATATTACATTTATGTATCGTTATTTATAGGTCTAGTTTAATGTTAAGTGCCACCGACAGCAGTGAAGTCAACTCGGTGTCGTCTGAAGAAGTGAATGTCGCACAAGAAGACGAGGAGTTACCTCCCAGGCCAGGTATATCAGCATTTATATATACATGTTAATTAATTTAAGAGTCAAGACTTATCATGCATTTGTATATTTTTTACGGAAAGTAATTAATAAATAGAAAAAATCTGGTTCGATAAAAAATGTGATGTCTGGATTTCAAATTTCGAAGTGTTGAATACAAAAGTTTTCATACTTAGGGTTTTTTTCTTCATAAATGTGTATTTTAAAAATGTATGGTTCTTACTACCTACACATTTTAAAATGTAATGTGGTAGAAAAATCAAATTTTACATAAAATTAACTAACTATTTTTCTTCTTGATACGATATAAAAATATTCTAAATTTTGGAAAAAACTATAAGACCATCAGCAAACTTTTAAAACTATATACTAAAATCCTACATTATCGATGACGCTTTTTTGGATTGCATAATCGTTTTAAGTACCTACATTATTTAAAGATTCAGTCTAATACGTCCCCTAGTTCTGGGATCGGGGCCCTGCCGGGACATTATATTATTGTAATACGTATCGTAAGTCGTCGTATCAGGTAAATCGTTATATGCAGAGCGAGTGAAGTTACTCAATTACTTAATCGGCAGGTACGATAGCAGAACGAGAACATTCTAAGTGGGAAAAGGCGACGCCTCTGACGAACAACCCGTACTCCGCCGAGAACATCGAAAAGCGCAAGTACAAGACGTTGTTCGGCAGCAGGAGCAGTAGCGAGGCATCACTGTGAGTTTTTTTTTTATTATTATTTTGTTCCACAAACGGTTTTGTAAAACTGTTTCATTTTCCTCCGACGGTTGGTTTTATAATATTATTACATACCTATACGTTTTTCCTGCAGGAATTTAATCAATGGAAACGACACGTCCAGCCCGTTGAAAATCGTCTGCAGCCCCTCGTTACCGGACGAGCAGCGGTAATTATCGTTTGCAAGTCCAAAAAAAAAATTATTAATAATTTAGAGCACCCACGTCCCATAATATAATTGTTATACCGTCTCCGTTCATCTATAACGGGCATATTATAATATAGTAAAATTCTACCAAGCAAAGTCGAAATTTGCCTAATACCGACAGTACCGGATCTACAAATTATGTAACCCGGGGCACAACATAATATTAGCGCCCCTATACTATATGTTTTATGAGTTTGAAATTTGAAATTTGTGCCCCTCTATGATTAGAGCCGGGGCATGGGCCCCTGATCCCCCCTCCTAGATCCGGTACTGAATACCGAGTTCGAAGAAAAGAATATTAAAAGAATATTTTCGTGATAATTTAAAGCCCTATTTTATTCATTAAATATTTCTCAACGTAGAATAGTCACTGCGACTTACATTTTATCATACTATTATAATACTATAGTATATTGTATATGTACATATTATAATATGGATACATATAATATTATTAACTCATACCTATTAACTTAAAATTTAGTAAAAGGAGTTTAAAATCCAATATTAACCTAGACGCTATATAATTTCGATTATACTTGGAGGAATTTTGTTTTATTGGGTGTGGGTATCTATGTACCTTGTCCTTAAATATTATAATACCTATTCATTCATTCATTCAGGTATGGTCGAGATTACTACATCAATCAGTCCGGGGAATTGAAAGCCAGACAAAAACAGGTTAGTGTTGACGACGTCAGTACTTTGGAAAAATCAATAGTGTACGGGACTTTGCTCAGAACCGTGATTAGGAACCAAACAGGCACAGACAACTTTGTTAAAAATCCCATTTTCTCCGAGGACGTTTCGAGCCATACCTATAATAATAGATGAACGTGCCATATAAAATATTCTGATCGATGTTTTATATATTATTATTATTCAAATATTTATTCTTTATACCTGGTTGTGAGCCAAAATTGGAAATTTTGGAAATTTGGCTTTATGTGATATGTTTCGTAGGTACAAAATCGAAATACGCGTTACCATAATATAATATAATTTTTTTTTTGTTACCATACATATTTCAAATAAAATGTATCGTTAATCAGAATTTTCTGCAGTTTTTATTTGCGCTGGTGTATTATCGGGAAGCACCTCAAAGATCCTACTTTTGTTTCTAAACATATTTTATTCGCTGAAATAATTCATAATTTAAAATAAATAAATTGTAGCAATAAATTGTTGCACACAGGTATAGTGTAGGCCAAGTGTATGGTCTCTCTGAATTTTTGTCACCCATCTATAATGACCACTTTCGCCATTGTCCGCGTAATCGGTTTCTTTTACTCCATCGTTCTATAACATTATGCACATCTATACTATACAATTAAAATTATATTTTAAGTGGCACGCGCCCATATATTTAATATATGTTTATGATTTTTTAGGTTTTCGGTAGTTCCGAAAATAGTAGTAACGTAGGAGGTTTTTACTTTTTGGTGGTTAAATATTAGTTTGGAATTTTGGAAAACCGAGTGATCGGAGTATATCGGACTTTACCCAAACGAATATTTTATCAATTATGCATCCTCAAGATTTCGTCTCTACAAGCTATGATAAGGGAGGGGGGAGAGTTAAGTTTGAGGGCCACTTTTGTCATCACTCAACAGCATACAATCATTGGCCGTTTGTGTACCTTTTTAATACAAAAATCATTAGTAGTTTTTATAATTTTATTTACAAATATAACTTTAAAGGCACGCTGTGAAACAATATTATAATAATTGTTGTGTTTTATTTTACAGTATTTTAGTTTGAACTCAACTCTCTTAATAGTAATAGGTAGATATGACGTGTTAAGTTGTTTGTCTTTGTATGGGTTGAGCGATGACCAAGTTCTGGTAAGAATAAGATTGTATTTTTTACATCGCCGGAGCCGGGGCCGGGGCCAACAACCATCTACACCCTACTGCCCCTTAGGCCCTCTACTCTTTGGCGAACTTTTGATCCGGGCTTGCGTCTCTAGTCGCATAATATATTATAATATGCAAGCTTCTCGTAACAAATGAAAATTTCACGATTATTGAATTTATTATATTGTAATGATGCGTAAACACGTGCCCGCGATGTGTGTTGTGTGTCAGACCAAGGTGTCCAAACTGGTAGTACAGATCGGCGAAGGCGAACTCGAAGGTGACGGGCGGCGAACTGACGGCGCACTCCTGGACTCCACGCCGGTCACCCCTCAATCGACGTCCAGTGGCGACTCGTTAGCGCCCTTTGGCACTTTCGGCGGCCAAGACAAACTGGTTCGGGTGAGCTCGTGGACGGACCGACGGGAGAGCGGCAGCGGCGTCCCTAAGAGTTCCATCGCGGAATCGGCAGACGATGTGCACCACTGTATGCCTTCGGTCAGAGAACTGGCCAAACAGTTTTCGTCCAACGTGAGTGTAACCAAAGTTATTACTTGTATCTAATGATATAATATAACTTGTGTGATTTGTAGCCATATTACTATAGTATAATATTAAGCTCAGTAGTCGCCAGTCGGTGGTGGCGGCGCACAGTGGTAATCTAGCTTGCCTAAATTAATATCCCCGAAGAAAATCAATATTTTTTAATGCGGTTTTTTCACAATTATCTGTATACAGAGGTTAATTTGAAAATAAAATAAACATTTTTTTTAGAATTTAATTTTGTCTTTTTATGATTTATTTTTTTTTTTCGTTTATTTTTTGTGGGGTTTATCCTACTACTAGGACAATCCCGATCATGAGATGTCTCACAACTATTTTTCTAACCATCTCTATTCATTGCCAAACCATTTTATTACCTTGTTTTTTTATTTAATAAAAAAAAAATATATATATATATATATATTCAAATTTCAAATTAAGAAAAAATTTATTAGTTTTCAACCGGTATAATACTTTTAAAAAAACACATTTTCTAATTACAATAATTAATTACCAGTATTATGTCCCTTTACGTTGCATTGCTTATTAATAAACTCATATAAATAAAGCCTGAATTCAACATTACTAGGATTTAATGGTCGTTTTTTCCCCCAACAATTCAAATAGATCCCGAAATTTCAAATTCATTAGACCACTCTCTCCATTACTAGTCCATATAAAAGAATACATTTTAAGCACCGACTCAAATTTTTTTTTTGATCTGTGTAGGCTTTTAGTTTAGCTATGATTTCAGATTTGTATCTATTGCCAAATTATAAAAATGAATACATTTTTAAAACTTCTAAAAATGTACTTACCTTGTTCAATAGTATCCATAATACCTATATATCAAAGAAAAAAAATGAAATCTAAGACGTCTGTACTTAGTACCACGTGACAAGATAAAGTGAACTCAATAATAACATTATACCCTCAATTTCATATAATGTAACCGCTTATCTGGGAACTCGGCAAGGTTATAAATATCTAAATTTATCATAATCATAATTTTATCACTAATTAATATACATTCGATAATGATTTATGTCATAATTGGTATATTACATAATCTTAAATTTTAATTTAGGCAAGCTAGATTACGTTTCCGACCACTGTGCGGCGTAGGTATCAAAAGATAATCTAACACGATCGGTGAAATATCGATTTACCGAAGTAGGACTTGCACTTTATATTATATTAAATAAACCATTACCATTTTAAATACATTTTTAATAACAGTATGTATCAATATATGATTGATTATATAATTGATGTTTTTCAAGCTAAACACCTCATCATTCCCATCGGAATTACCTACTATATAGGGGGCATTTAAACCAAGTCCTTGCGGCTTGCAGCAAATCAATTTCGTCATGCGTTTAATAATATAAATTATAATACATGTACTTATATTCAATAATGGGGGCTATAACAGTCCAGATATAGTCCGGAGACTAAGTATCTAGTATCGGCCATAAATAGGGGTGGGGGACAGGCAAAGCCCTCTCTTGTTATAATTGAACTTTGGTTTTCTATAAGTTTCATTAATTGTAGGTGATTAATTAAATTCTAAATCTCCCGGAGTTAACACTCGAAACGTAACAGAAGACCAACTCTTCATCGTTTTCATTCGAAATATTTTTTGAAAATTGAATTAAAATGCGTTTTGGACTTGGTGTGAACATCTTAAATACGAATATACGATCAATCAAGAAATGTGTGTCTTTTGGTTTATCTTGCAATCATTTTTCTTTGTCAATTATTCGGCTGGTGGTGGGTGTGGGGTGGAGTGAGTGTCGGCTCTCCGATTCCATTTTTGTGTCCTTAGATATAGTATTCTACATTTCTACCTATGTGGTTATAATATATTATTTATTTCAAACATTATGGTCACTATTTATTATTTTAAATTACGATATAATTTTGACAAATTTTAATTTAGATATTTTTTTGCACTTTTAGAACTCTGAAAACACAAGCAAGAACCCGAGCAGACAAGTAAGTAAACCACCTGGGTGTTACGCTGTGAAGGTGTACCTCCTCCAAAGGAGGTTCGATTAGTATTAAATGTTCTGTGTGCTTGTGTATATGTATATAATGTATGTACCTATAATGTGTATAAATATAGGCAGGTCCGTGCTGACTGATTCGGCTTATAACGTATAAGTAACTTAAACGTAATATACGTTCTCCTAAGTCCCCTGAAAAGTACTACATAATGTATTAATGTGTCACTATAGTCTATAGATAAGTTGGTATAATTTGTTAATTGTTATATTATTATTTTCATTCATCTGTATTTCTTATTTTTATTATGCATTAACAACATGTCACAAAAGTATAAAAATATGTTGTTTATTTGTATAAATTCTGATGTATTGAGTACAACAATATAGTTTATGCCTTATGGCGGATAATATAATACAGCATAAATATACTGTACTGTGCGGTTGACAAAATGCTGATTATTGCTATTGACTTTTATTATTGATGATATTATAGTAGGTAGGTACCTACCTACTATAGTGTCTACTATACTGTGACAATAGTCAATATTACTCTTGAGTCTTATCATTTCGATGACATTTAGCATTAACTTTTAGTTATCAAATGTATAACTTATATAATAGGTACAACAGATATCTACAATACACTATAAACTATAATAGTACATAAGCATAAACTTATTACAATCTACTATACACTATAATAGAATATAAGTATAAACATATTCAACGTTTATAATATAAGAAGAATCAACTCAGTACTATTACTTGTGTTGTTTGTGTATTATAATTATTAATTTCTGATTTAGATTTATTAAAACTCTTTATTATTTATGGTTCAAAATTAATATGAATTATTGTTATATTATATATATTTAATGATTTATGTCGTAACAATTAGTCTTTTTATTATTCAGTGAGCGTGTCCTCAAGTGTAATAAACGACCGTTACTAATATTCATGAATGCACACTTTTAATCTATATACAGGTATTTATGCAGTGCACACGCAGAATGAATCGAAAATTCGAAACCGTATCGATGATTATGTGTGGGTAGGTACCTATATAATAGTAGGTATTAGGTATACGCTTTTACCCCTGTAGCATTAAATGATAGCTTTGTAAATTGTAGCATTAAATGATAGTTTTGTAAATTGTATGCGAAATATACGTAAAATATATTACGTGTACTTTATTATATAGGGCCTGGATTTCAACGGAAAAAAGCATTATTTTTGGGTGCTCTCCAAGTGGTACATCATTCGTTTCACGTACCAGATATAACTGTTCAAAGGTGAACATTTGATTTTGAATTCTTTTCGATGTTTTTCCATTTTTAGAGCATTTTCCGGATAATTTTATTGGTTTTTAGTGCATATTTGAATACATTGTATACAAGCTTTTAGTGTAAATTGGGAAACTTAAAATATTATATCTAGAAACAATTATTTCCAGTATAAATACTATTTATTTTGTGCCTGCCTGAGTTTGGTATTTAGTTTTTGAATCATTGTTAGTTTAGTTAAGATAAAGTGTTAATACTGCTGAAAGTCAACCCGTCGTTTTTCTATAGTATAGCCATCGTAAGAACGCTACTGGGCGGCGACCAAAATTCATCCGATCTCGCGCATTCCCACCACTAAATCTTCCCGAACGCTGGCCGCCGTCAACTCTGGCCGCCGCCACTGTCGCAGCCATCGCTACTGTCGCTGCCACTACTGCCTATTTACGGTGGCGACTAGATGGTAGAGTGGGAGAAACTTGGGTACGAAACTGCGGAGCTCGGTCATTTGGATGCGCGAACGAGTAGCGTTCTTACGATGGCTATACTATATCTGTAGTTGCACGTAGTTGCCTATAACAAAAAATGTTGGGTCATTTTTGAAGGGTATTTTTGCGTTGGAAAGGCGTTTTTATTTTTTAGGTGATTTTGGGTTATTTTTTGAAAGTTTTTAATGCATTTAAATCCGGGCCCTAAAGACTAATATAATATCACTTTGAGCACCTCCCAATAATAAGTTGGGAGTACTATAAATAAAACTTGCCCTTATTATATGATTACCTTATTTCGGTCTTCAGAAGCCATTAATAAACAACAATAAATTATTCATTTATTCGTCTGGCTTAGTGTCTTCGCACACATTCTGTAATAGGTAAATATAATATGGTTAAAACTGTCCTCCAAAAGTAGGTACGTTTTTAAAAACATAGCGCTGTTTTCACATCTGAAATCATATAAGATACCTATCTCCAGCACCTAGTCTTGTCAAAAATGTTTTATTAAAATTTTTACTATAAGAATTTTAATTAGGTAATTTTTTAAAAAAAAAACTAATTAAACAGGGTGTTTCAGAAACATCCTGCACGTATATAAGGGAATTATATTGTCTTAATTATATTACACTTTGAGTATAGCTTATATAATCACTGTCTATACAAAAATCAAAATATTTAAAACATCCGTCAGAACGCGAACATGTCGTTGTCCCCAATATTTTTGATAATAAATCATCATAATAGAGAGTAGGACTCGGAATTTCGATTATTTTAATAATTACTAAAATAAGTTTAGACGTTTAGTATGTATAGACCATAGTCCATATGTATAGGCTATACCTATTTTTTTAAAAGTCATAGCCCATAGGTATATATGGTGTAATACAGTTATTACACATTGTGTATAACTCAGTATAAGACACTATTAGTGATATTATAGACGGATAGACAACTGATCTTACATTCGTAATAATATAATGCGCATTGTGTGTGAGTGTATAGGTATATTAAATTTAAAGTTGCAGGGCGTGGCCGATGGGCATCGCAGTATAACATACGAGTAAAACAATGATATTAGGAGGTACCTATATATAATATTATATAGATGGATACGCAGTGATACGTCGTTCAAGGTCTATCGCCGACTCCGGAATTCACCCATTATACACTCCATACAATATTGTACATACATTATACCTACATTTATTATAATACACCCATATAGATATGCAAATTGTTCGGTAATTATTTAAAGCACTTGCGAGCAATTTTTTAACGAGGGATCACTCCGGGGTCACAACATACATCCCTGCTAAATCGGCTACATCTCACCTATACGATGATATAATTATAACATCGTTAATACTCTTATGGCTATTTAACATACACCTATTAGGTATATTGTTTACAGTCAGGCCACTCAGGCGCGGGGGTGGCACAAAGTTATTTAAGCCACATATCCCAACACGACAGACCATATTATATTATCGTCTCGTCTCTATTCGAAAAATATGCCAATATCTTGCAAATATTCTAAAATTCCAATGCCCGTGTAATTGTTTTCAAAATGTCGGCATATCTTTCGAATCCATCGGTCAAAGTCAGGGGTGGGGGCTTAACTTAGTGGACTTATTATAATCTCAGTCGTTGTGTGATTTATTTTATGTATTATACCTATATACGTTTTTACAGGTGCACAGTTTGACGGCCAGGAGCCTCAGTCGAGAGTACCGCGAAGGATTGGGATTGAAAGTGCGCGATAAAAGCGGACACGCCGTACAGGACTCCGACGACAGCGGCAACGGATCTGCCAAGTCTGAGGACGCCAACACGGTCGACCACCGACACCTGTTGCAGCTGGCCTAGTGAAATCGTCTGCTTATCATATTATTACTGTTATTATTATTATTTTCATCGCGATGGCTATATATTATAGTAATGCATAGAGATTTCTATATAATTTATATAAATTATAAATTATAATATTATATATTATTATAGTCTTCAAAAATTTATTATTATTTTAATATTATACATATCACGCGTTACGCCCAGTGTATGTATGGGATATTAATATAATATTTTAATAATTATACATTACGGTGTTTGTGCTATATATAGCATTAATTTTATAATCGACTACTATAATAATAGTATTATAATATCAATGCTTATATATATGTACCTCCTACCTATAGTATATTACAGAGGTACAAATAGATACATGCAGTTGTTGTATTGTTATAATTTATTATCCTATAATAATATTAATTAAACTGTTATTATTATTTTTTTTTAAAATACCTTATAGGTATAGTGTATAGGTGTACCTATAAAAACGTAGTTGTTTTATTTAAATTGAATAGTAATATTTTACTTTTCAAAATTGAAAAGCATATATTATTATGATTATTTTATTACGATTGCATATTTTATTATTATAATTAAAATATTTATCATTTGTTAATTGTATTCTTATTTCTTTATACAATTTTTATCATTTATATGAACATTTTTTCGAAATAAAATATATACCTATTATATACCATAGTATAACATCATTACCTAAACTATGTGTGTATATTGATGTTTAATAACTTGTGTTCGGATTCGAATAACAATCAATATATTTTAATGGCTCGAATGTATTACAGGGCGTATCTGGAATATTTGCCAATATCTCGTTTAATGCGTGTCAAATAAACGCACCATTACCCCCCCCCCTTCTATATATATTTTATGGTATTTACTAATGTTATATAGGTATGAATGGTTGAGGGCTTGAGGTAATATAATATGAAAATGGTTTTATACTGTTGTCTGTTGCTGTTCGTATATTTATAATGATATCATATTATTTACTATTACCTATGCACTTGACTATAAGCATAAAATGCACGTAATTTATTACTTTAAAATTGCGTGCACATTTTTCAATACTATTTCAATTTTATCGCCAGTTAAATGTATACGGTGTGAAAACTCATTAAAGACGGCGGTTACGCGAGCATAGGCATACGGTTTAAAGCATAGACCTATAAACTAAACTCAGTTAATAGGTCTATGGTTTAAAGTCGGGGATCATAGAGAATGCTAAAAATAACTAATGCTTCACTGCAGGTAGCTTATAGGGTGCTTCGGCCTGATAAGTATATAGGTACTTCGTCTGCGTTTCTTTAAAATATTCAGTAAGACAGATAAATAAATACAATTTTTAAAAAAACATCAACAATATCACACTAATATAATTTATATAGGTATATACAAGATTATAGGTTTTCCGTCTGAGAACATACACATTTATTGTATAAATATAATTTTTAATGATATTATAAAGTACGAAGTAGGCGCCTCTACACAACTGTAGGTACAACAGCCAAGCGATACCCACTTGAACACCTTTTAAAACTTTTTTTTTATAATTATTTATAGCACGTATATTATTTACAATCATAGGTATACTTTTAGATAAGTACATTCTGAAAAAATAAACATCGAATATCAATTTTTTTTAGATGGTCGTTTTTAAACGAAATATTCATTTGGATTTTTCGTTGTATTCGTTGGTTTTTTAACCCTTGATATTTTGACCTAGATTCGTATACATATTATAGGTGGGTGGCCCTTATGACTTTATGAGTTGTGGATGACCTACTCGCAATATCACACGACTTTTTTCTTGAGTGTTGTTGTTTAAAAATGATCGCATTTAACTAATAATAAGTAGGTAAGGTTCCTATACGGTGCTATTGTATTTTATTGTTTCGGGAAACAATTACATTAATCTCGTATATTTTTATTACAATGCGTCGCGGGCGTACCTATAAGCATTTATTTTAGTATAATATGTATATCTAGCCATCTAGGTACGTCGTCACGGCATATTAATATGATATTATTAGTGAAGTATTTTATGGCTGTTAAAAATATAATGTAGGTATTCTCATCTAAATATCTGATCCTCCATTCCATATTGTCACGCCGGACCATTGTTGATTGTTTGAATAATATACTGATCAGCAAACGAGGAACGGCTGTTGTGTCGTGGGCAGTGCTGTTTTATCATAGACATATTAATATTTATTATATATGTCTATGTGTATTATCGCTTGCAGGGCCGCCAAGAGCGACAAATTTCAAGTCGAGGCAACGCAATATCGACAATTTTTTTATGCACCTACCCCTGCGGTAATAAACTTTACTCCGGCCCCGTTAATGGGGTGCACGTTTTTATTACATTCAATTTCACAGTAATTTTAAATTCTTAAATCAATGCCAACAGTAATCGAACCGTAGTTATTTGTGTTTTCTAAGAAAATACTAAATTGTACAGACAACAGTTGGACGTATTACAATATTTTTCCACAGCATAGATTCTACAATCTAGATATAAGTCAAATATAACAATATGATTTTCAGCTGCAACACTTATCAAACATGATAAAAAAAAATGTGGTTAAATAGCAGTATAACAATATTAGAATATAATATTGATACTTGATAGGTAATATTATTGGATTAAAACATTTTTAAAAGAAAAAAATGAGTTTATCATGTCGTTTTGTTAAATATACATTTTATTTTTATAACTTTGGTTAGTAAATAAATAACACAATTATGTTTTAAATAAAACTTGTAAGAGTGTAAATTACAAATACAACCAATTTTCTTAATGTTAAATTTTAATATTTTTCTAACAATAATAAAATAATAATACTTAATGACATTATCAACGCTGATACATAAATATTATGATATTAAGAATATTGTTAACAATGTACAATAACACCACTCAAGGAAGACAAATATTGAAATATGGTTAGGTTTTACCAGGTGAATGTAAGACATTTTCTCTCTAAGTTTTAAAAAGGACATAATATTATCATGATAATGTTCAACATCATTTACTATCATACACAATAATATAGGGAAAAAAATTAACCCATCCAAATTCAATTTTATAACTTTAGGAGTGAATAAGAATATATCGGTATAATAGGGGCGTGCGTGTTAATGTATATGAAATATCCCAACTATCAACCCCAGTTGTATAATCGGTGGTTATTTTCATATTAAAATCAAATGGTATGCTGGCAATTTAATTTATTTAGTTATTTAATAACATTCGTTATCCCGTCTTTCATCAGTATCTAGTTTACCGCTTTTCATTGGGTTTCACTAATATAAATATATTATAGTGTATTATGAGGCAAACTAGATACAATGATGTGCGCAAGACTTGATGATATTTCAGAATGTTGCCATCATACCATGTTATTTTATCATGGTTATCTTAATGATTTATAAGATAGACAATATTGAGTTGCAGAATTTATACAGTTCACAAATAATGGTGTGTAAAATATACACGCATAATATACACGGAGAGAAAATGTCTCTTATAATTAGGGCCCAGATTTAAATGCTCTAAACAATTGCTAAAAATGTCCATAAAAACATTATTTTACCACAATTATGCCCTTCAAAATTGACATATATATTAATTTTTTAATGCAATGTTTTATTAAGTACACCTACTTAAATTAAAAATTTACTAAACATTTATGAAAAATAAAAAACTGAAATTTGTTTAGAAGTTCAAAGGGTTCATAAATTATAATCACCGGCTCACGGCCTACAAATGTCACTATTGGATACATATTTTTCCTCTATTTTCGTTCCAAAAGGATATTGCCCCCCCTCCTAGAAGGCTAGGAGACGAATCAAATCCGCTACTGTTACAGTACTACTGACCACAGAAGTCGTATGATGTACAAATATGCATTAAAACTAACAAAATGACTGAAAAATGCTAAAAAATGGTCGAAAAAATTCAAATAAATCCAAATATGCAACAAAATGTAAAATAAAAGTTTCACCATTGAAGTATCTGTTTCATGAATACTGCATTAAAATCCGGGCTCTACTAATGATTATGTCAGGAGAAAATGTCCATCTACCACATCAGGCACGTGTACAGGGGGAACTGGGAATTTTCAAACCATCCTACCCGAAATCATTTTTTACTTATATAATAGAACTTTTAATTTGTAATTCATTGTTATGATTAACTAACCCCCCTCCCCTCCCAGAAAAAAAGTACAATGTACAGGCTTGGGTTACTCAAGTTAAATAGATGTATAGTAAAACGTTGACTTTCACAACACCATGAATTTATTTTTAAATCCCTAACAGGTATACACACATACCTTCCACTTCATGATAATTCATTATACATAAGTTCATGTTATTTATTTTAATACATGGACTTCACAATGCAATACTATAGTTTAAGTTAATACTGTTTGAGCAAACAAAGTCAACTATAATTAATTTTTCTAAAATCTAAATAGGCACGTCGTGATGCTAGCGCAAATTTAATAAAAATATAATATTTTTCAGTCTAATATGTCTAACCGCCTTGCGGATTTTCTTTTTATTGCTGTCAAATTTTGAATATTATTTATAACCTTTGCTATATCGTAACACAAAATATAACAGGTATAATAATATTATGGACGGATATTGTACAGACTCAACCCTGTTAATTAGTTTCTCTATAGATATTATATACACGGACCCAGATTTTCCAATACCACTTTTTACATTAATCAAAAGCAATATGAAACCTGGTCGTAAACAAAACAATTAGGCTCAAAGGCCATGGCTGGGCATAAGATTTAAAAAATCTAAATAATAAACCCAAAGTATTTCTCTCCTTTCTTTTCCAACAATAATGGATTATAGTGGTTCAGTTTGAGTAGACATGTCAACAGTGTCTGTAGCAAAACGGCACGTGCATTTGCCACTCATAGGTGAAGTATCTAAACTATCTGTTTGGGCTGGCTCTGCATCCATGGCCATGGTCAACAATGACTCTAAACGCTCAATTTTTTCCAAACGATCCATAAGTTTATCAGATAATACATCATCCAACCTTTCCATAGTTTCAGTAAGGCTTAGCGGTTGTTCAGACGCAATAGACTGGAGTTCCCCTTTTTAAAACATTGAAAGTTATAAATAAGCAATAGAACAAAATTAAAATTAAAAAAAATATTATTATTAAATATTTACCAGATGCAGAATTATCTGATGATGTTGATTTACCACTGATATTGCTTTCTAGACTGAGGAACTCATTAGAATCACAGTCCTCTCCATTGTATTTCCTATAAAACATAATTAAATAAATAAATAAATAAATATTGATTAAATTATTTTCGCTTCTTACATATTTTTTCCTTCCATCTTTTCTAACTTTTTTGCAACCTTTGTGGATCCTTTTAACTTTTCTTTATCTTCTTCAGTTAATTCCAAATGCCTGCAACCATAGTTTAGGTTTAAGGAATATTTAAGTCAATATATTTAATTGATATTAATCAAAATACCTTAATAATCTCAATTCTCTGTTACTGAGAACGACATTTTTGCCATTATCAGTAGACAATTTTTCTTTAAGAACTTGCAATTCATTATCAATTTTACGCTGGTGCTTACGCTTTTGAACATTATCTGGGGAAATGTACAAAAATGCTTGTTCTTCACATAACTCTTCGAACAGTTTAGTATTGGATGGATGAATTTGACTATAAAACAATAAAAAATAAATTAACATATTTATTTTGAAAATAAAACGTAAAAACATAATAGTAAACTTTTTAATGGCTAGTACAAAATAGATTAATATAACATTTAATATTAAACGATTAACTTAACTATGAAGAAATAGTGTATACCATAAGGTAGTTGTAGTTACAAAACTAGTGGAGATGGGAAATCTGAATTAAATCCAAACATCAAATATTATTCAGACATCAAATCCTAAATTTCATCAAAATCAACTAATGATTTGACAGATTCATTAGAGTTATCGGAAATCATCAAACTAGTTGTGGGATACTAGGAGCTTACAATAAAATTAATAGATGATATATTTTTTGTTTTTTCCTTTTAGAAATCTTTTAATAATATTTTTCTTAATAAATGGGTTATATGATTGACTTCAAACTATGATTATATTTTCAAAATTTACTCAGATAAATAACAATTTTGAAATAAGGATAGGTTGTAATTTGGATATGAATATTACCAATAGCTGTAATAATATATATATAAACAATATATATATATATATATTATATAAACAAGTTGTATTATACATTACAGCATAAGATAGTGTAATGTCAGTGTGTTCTGTCAATGTGTCAGTGTCATGAAACCATATAATATCGTAAACTCCCTGCATTATGCACCCTACAAATACTATTATCAAATTACGTAGGTACTCATTACTCAAGGGATTATTTAAATAACTTGTTTAAATGTTAACTATACATAAAATACTTACGCAGATAAAATTTTATATAATTTAGGCATGAGAGTTAGCACGTCACTGGCAGCGTAAGCAAGCATATCCTTAGATAATGGCCTCCGTATCCAATACCTTGGATCTTTTTTATTTTGAGTTCTCAATTGATCTTTGGATGAGTTTATTGGCAAACCATACATTTCACATATGGCATTTAGACTAAGATTTTTTGCCTTATAAACTGGTTGTCCAGTTTCTTGAAATTGAATAATAGCAATGGCAGCCTAAAATTGAAAAACAGGTCATATATTCAAATATTTTAATTTATCTATACTATAGCCAAAATCTAATCTTACAAATTAGTTACATATGCCAAGAGTGATAAATTATTGTCAATAATAAGATTTAATACAATAGTGGGTATTCGTTTAGTGTGTGACCTAGGTACCGAGACAATTATCTATGTATATTATGTACTGACAACATACGAATACCGATTAATTAACAGGCAAGATAAATTTTTTAAATTTTTCAAATGATATACAAAAACTGTATAGCTAACCATTTTTTAAAAATAAAATAGTCATGAATTTTTTTGAATAATTTTTACATAATGCTGTAATAGGTACCTATGAGTATTCATACAATTTATTTTGCTGATATTTTGTTTGACTGATTTTTACATTATTCAATGTAATCATGTATTATTTTATATGTGTTATTAATTAATTGAATAATTATTAACATAATTTTAAAATTTTTCATTTAACTGTTTTTAAATTACTTATCGGTCTGGTAGCGGTAGGTCACATACTAAACAAATATCCAAAAGTGCCACATGGAAATGTTCATATTTATTGTAAATATCTTGTCATAATATACTAAAATATATAAGTACTTAAAAACTTAAAACCAACAAAGTAAAAATATAATAAATTTGTATTAAAAATATACATATTTAAATCCCAACCACATTCGCTTCTAATCTCGAGTGATGATCACATTACATTGTAATTCCTCAAATTAGGTTCGGAAATTCTACTTTACGAATCTAGAAGATTCGAACGACAGTTTAACAAAATATTTTAATTTCATGGCAATCATAACTATACCATTATTTGCACAAATCAGATCTAGACACGAACGACGAACATTCGTGAATGTAATAAAATTTAAGCAGATCAATTTATTATACCACACGAAACATTAAACTGTTACAGGTTGCACACAATAAATTAAATTATTTCATTTATTCTGTGCCAGTTGTTGTGTGCCATAAAAATATTGTGCGGGCGTAAAACAAATACAACTATACAACCTAACTTTTTTTTTATAGGTGTGTTTGTTTGAAATAGGTAAACGATATAAGCTACGGCAACATACAGCTATACTTTAAACTTATAATTTATAAATATTTTTTTTCAGTTATAGCACTACCGGACTCACCTGAATATCGAACACGTTTTTCATTGCAATGCCAAACTGGTTGTACAGGTTCAAACTTTCATTTCGACAATCATTGATCACCTGTAAATACGTGAAAATACTGAAAATTGTATATTTTATACTTTTGCAGAAGATTATAATTAATTAATAATTTGTTGAAAGTAATAATCTATTATGTCCTAATTTATATCAACTTTTAAGTCCCGTAAAGCGTGTAAAATTAAAAGGTACCTAGTATTTTGTTAACAGTAATATAACTGTCATAACTCATAACTCTTTATTAATCACAAGTTTCAGATTATTAGAACTAGACTACTTAGTACTTAAACTTTAAAACCTAGGAAGGTTGGAGTGCCCCAAATGGGCAATGTCCCCTATCATGAATTTAATTACATTTTAACATTATATCATGTTTATTTATTGTAATACTTTATGTAGTATGTACAAATTTTAAATGTACTATGTTTTTATTTAAATATAATAAATAACTAAACCTAACCTACGATTCTTAAGATCGAATAATATTACTTATTAACATCAGGAAATTTTAATTTTGTTTTTTTAGGGTTTTTTTTGGTTAGTTGTTAATGGGCGTTAACAGACGGAATAGCTTTGAGTGTGACCGCACGGTACAAATTCGTATTTAAAAAAACTTTAATTTCATATTTATAGTGATGTAAAAATATAGATTATATTATGTGCATCTCAACGAGGATCAACTTTATTTATACTTGGTAATTACTAATTATTGGTTTGTATAAACATTTCGATATTCTCTGAGTTTTGTATTATTAATTAGAAAGGCGCATATAAAATACTACTTTTTATTCTCAAATTCCCTCTTCCTATTTTTTTAGATCTTTAACTGACTTAAGTCTAAAACTATAACTGAATTTTAGGCAGCAATATCAATAATTACTATAACAAGTGTTAAAATGAATAAAATACATAAATTACATACTTATTTAATTGATACTGTGATATATTTTCAGAGTTCTATAATCCATAGGTAGACAAGTTTTTTTTTAAAAAGAAACTATTTGGTGGCTGAACTAACTAAAAAATGTCTGTGTCACGAAATAAATGCCAGTGTAAAACACGGAATACTTTTAAGGGGCCGTTACAGTGACATTTGTTATGTCCGTCTTACAAGTGCGTAACATGGCAAACTTTACGCATTTGTATAAGACGGAGACAACAAATGGCACTGTAACGTCCCTTTAAATTGCTGTAACTTAGCTAATTTTGGGAAAGGAAAGTTGGTTAAACCACTAAAATTGCATGGGAAAAAAATAACTATAAATATGCGTGACAATAAAAATTCACTTAAAGAGCTTAGAAATTTGTATTATGTACTAAATAGTAAACATAACAACCAACTAAAAAACAAAATTCTAATTGCATGGCTCAGCGCGCAAAGATATTAAGCCTCTTCAATTAATGTTTATACACTGTATACAATTTAAATTTGTTTGGTCAAAAACTAAGGAAATGTCAAAACATTTTATCAACGTTATTCAAGTAAGTATACAAGAAAACAATTTTTAGTTTAAAAATAAAATGTAGTTTGGTTTCTAATAACCTCACAAATAACTTAGTTAAGTAATTTAGTTATAATGAATATAATGAATATTACAAGTTATTGTAATTGTATATTATTATTATTATTTATTGATAACTATTTTTGTAACGACTTCTATACTCCCAAATATATAATGTTTAATGTCAAAAGGACCTGTATAATTAATTAAAATAGTTGAACGAAAAATATTGAGTGAAAATTAAAGTTTTTAAATCGTTAGAATGCAAAGACCACAAATACGAAAAACATTTTAAACTTGTTTATTTTTAAATATAAATATCATTGGTTCCAGATGTAATCTCAAAGAATCTTACATGGGATTTTGAAGGGAGCAAGTATATTTAACCAACATCAGCACACGTATAACTGTATATTAAGTATTTATACCTATTATTTATAATTTGTCGGTTTAAAACATAAATACGCTACAGAGAAGTAGGAAAATGTTTAACTATGCTCTAACACTATTTGGGCCGTTCTTACAATGTCCGGTAAAATGTCGGTTAACTTTAACCGAACATTGTAAGAACGGTCCTTAATTGTTTGTATTTCCGTAAGGTCAACTCAGTACATATGACAATATTAACTATGGATATTTTGATGAGTGATGACTATTTAAAAGTTTTTAAGGTAAACAAATATAGTATAATGTATGACTACTAACTAGGTATTTAATTACATAATATTTTGGTTTCCTAAATTATTCGATTGCAAATATTAGGTACTTAAATAATTAATTATAAACGTGATAAAAACAATATAGAATAATATCTAAATATTCCGAGTTTAGAGGTACATATAATATTATTATAACTACTATGGTTTACGTTAAATGAATAGATTATTTTGAATGGAAATTGAATTTTCTCACATTCGATTTATGGGTTTGTTTACAACTTGAGTAGGTATCTATTTAAATTTTCTAAGAATTATAATATTGCAGTATTTTATATTTTTTTAGATATTAATCACTATAGGTACATACTATAAGAATTATGTTTGATATTTACAGTAGGTACTTATGGTCAATGGCATATTGTTCAAAAAGTACCTTATACATTTTGTAATCAAAAGTCAGAGCACGTCACACAATAACCCACACACTCAAGCGATATATATATATATATAGGAACCCTAGACGCATCCTACTCTATAAGTTTATACAGTTTGTTGTCGATGTTTTCGTAATCAAGTCGATTGTTTTCATTAACAATAATTATCATTCCCACTGAGTGTATAAATATTAAGAATGCCGTTTTAGCCTGCCAGTCGTCAATGACCTCGACAAAGTTATCAAATACATTTTACCGATCCCCGCCACAGAGGAGTGCAAGCACGGGTGTTTACCGCGCGACTTAACTGGACAACTTCCGTACATACATACCACGCGTATAATAATACTATTATGTATGTATACACTTACACACCCATTCAATATAGCAGGACATAATAACAGTTAGGTAACATTTCTTCAACCTACTCAACACTAAACAGCAGCACCATAGGCATAAACGTGAACAAGAAACGTATTTCCATTAAAATCACGCTTTATAGAAAGTACGATGATTGAAACCATATAATCCAATCACCAGTCATATTATGATATAGAGGTTCAGAACTAAACATGAGAAATTAATTGAGATGTAATAATTTTGTTTATTCCACGATCAATAAAAATCAAATAGACTAATTTTAACTAACAGTAAACAGGTTAAAAAATAACAATCCAATATAAATACACCATTTTTGATTATTGGTTATACAATAATATATTTCAATATTATGTTTATTCATTTTTGTATGTCGTCACATTATGAAGCATTAAAAACTATAAATGCAGTCTTAAATTTAGAGCATGGTTTGGGAGGTCAAATTTTTAAATTCCCAATAGTTTTCAAAAAAACAACATAAAAATTAGGGAAAAAACGGGAATTTTTAAGCAAAATAGATTTTGGTTTTTGGTGTAACTCTAAAACAAATTAATGTTTATACATTAAATTTTCACTGGTTGTTTATATTTGAATTTTCTATAGGTACACGATACAAATTTAAAAATATTTAGATTTGTTTTGAACTGTTTAAGAACATTTTCAGTTTCCAATTGTAGGTATTAGTCTTTTTTTCTATGAATGTAAATAAACCTTTATTTGTTGGTTAAAAAAGCTTGAAAATGTAATACAAGGCTCTCCCTAAATTGTTACAATGACTTGTATGTCATTCAATATCTATGTATTACAATGAAAAATATTAAAAATCCTTGGTCACAGTTTTTTTTTATAAGCATTTAAAGTTAAAATTTTGACGAAAATTAGAAAATTATTTTGAGTTGAGAATCCATAAAAATTGTTCTTTTTAAATCTAAGATTTGAAAATGTAATACAAAATTATCCATACGTTTGTCTACCTTTATGAAAAAAAAAGGTCTATAAGCAAATCAAATTAAATTTTTATGAGAGTTTGAAGTTTATATTTTTACAATATTGGATATTCACTCGATTTCTCATTTAGCGGTTTTGTTATATTATTATTATTCAAAAATGAATAATTATAGTTACATAAAAATTTTACTGAATGTTTATATTTTCATTTTCTATACACTATAAAATTTTGAAAATATTTTGACTATTTTTGAGCTGTTTACGGACATAGTCAGTTTTCAATTTTCTTAGTTTTTTTTTCTATAAATATCAACAAAATAATTTTATTTGTTGGTATAAAAGCGTGAAAATTTAATGCAAGGCTCCTGATATATTGTTACAATAGCAGTTGAAAAATATTAAAAATACATAGGCACAATTTTTTTTTATAAGCATTTATAGCTCGAATTTTGCCAAAATTTATCAAATTTAAAAATGAATAATTACTTTGTAGTTAAAAATGTATAAGATGTTCAGATTTTATAGCTAAGGATCGAAAATTTACAACAAGGTTCCACGTAAATCTAAAATAGGTTATATATAAATTACTTTATTCACAATAATATCATAGGCTGACTGACCATTTGTGAAATGGATAAGTGGATGTCTTGCATTCTTGCAAACCTTTTTTAATTTTTAATTTACAAATGATAAAATATTTGTTTAAGTAAAAAGTTTTAAATGCGGGTGTAGCGTCTTCTTAAATAACTTTTGTTATTTTGCTGTAACTCAACAGATATTAATCGTAGACAACGTATTACGTAGGACGTCACACCCGCATGTGTTGTCTCCGTCTTACACATGTACGACAGAGACAAAACGCTTTTACGCAGTCTGAGTAGAACTCGCTCAATTTGGGTTTTAGAGTAGGTGAAAATACCTATCATAAAATTGAATTGTAACAATATTTCTGAGGACAAGTCATTGTGTTATTTCCATTATACCAAATTTAACGTTCATTATATCGTTTAGAAATAGAAAAATTTCAAAATTTTAAGAATACCTTTAACTTTCAAAATTTAAATTTAAAAAAAAACTCAGCAACTTATTTCAGAAATATTTTCCCCATTTAATTTTATAGTAGGTATTTTTACTCTAGAACCAAAATTGAGCGAGTTCTACTCAGATTGCGTAAACGCCTTTTGTCTCCGTCTAATACACATACGACATACCAAATGTTCGTTGGCTAGTTTCAATAGGCCAATGGGTATTGTCAGTTTTGATATTAGAGTGAATCGACCTATCATAAAACTTTTAAGTAACAACATTATCTGTGTTCTCTCGTTGGTTTTTTACGATATTTTAATTTTTAAGTGAGTTATGAACATTTTAGAATATGAATACTTTACATACCCATAACTCACTTCAAAATTAAAATATCGTAAAAAAACCAACGAGAGAACACAGATAATGTTGTTACCTAAAAGTTTGATAATAGGTCGATTCACTCTAATATCAATACTGACAATACCCTATTGAAACTAGCAAATGAAAATTTGCCATGTCGTACGTGTGTAAGACGGAGACAACACATCCGGGTGAAACGTCCTCTTAAATAATTATTATCTATACAAAATGTAATTTAAAAAAACTATGACTAATTTTAAGCTATTTAATTTTCTTTATTTTTAGTAAAAAATATAAAAATTTTAAGCTCAGTGTATAAAAAAAGCTTGAAAATCGAATTCAAGATGCCTGATAAGTTGTATTTTTAGCGAAATTATCAATAAACGAGGACACAACTTTTTTTTTAAGTGTTGCATTTTTTCATGCAGCTGACATAATATTGTGTTCTTTAAAAAAAAAAAATATTTTTGACTTAAGTATTTACTTTGAAAAACGCCATTATTATCTTTTTCTATCACTATGTACCTACACTCATGTTGTTAATCAATATTATATATACACTAATTACATTATACAGCTGTAAATACCCACTTAGTCGTCTATCTCATTAAATATGTAATAATTATAGGCCTATAGTTATCTATGGTCTATAATGCATACCTAAATGAACGAGTTAAAAGTAAACAAGAGAGTATAATATTATAACAAGTACTTATTTACATGAGTTGTTAGATTGTAATTTACTAATTTATAATATTTACAACAATAACTATTACCCGTTGAATAAATGAATAAAATAATTATTTATAAATAGGTATTAATTGATATTAATGTAACATTAGTTAATTAGTATATTTAGTAAATAAAATGTTATTATAGTTAATCACAAAATATATGTAATGAATAATGATGTGAACAATTAATGCCTTACATAATTAAACATGTAGGGCCATGACTAAGTTATATATTTTGAGACATTTATAATTAGCTTAATAAAATTATAATATTCCATATTTATACACAATAAAATACTAAAAAAAGTTAGATTAAAGTTGATTATAATATATTGATGGTAACTAGTAGACTAAAAGTTCAAATAAAATTTTATTTAGCTCAAAATAGATATGCATTGTGTATGTAATTAAAGAAAATGTCAGCGCAATAGGAGTATTCTCTCTGAAACCCATGAGCAACATAGATAAAACGCTTTCACCTACATTTGTTTTTTTAATGATTTTTGAGTAATCTTAATTCTTAGAGCAAAATCACCTATTATAAAAATTAAAAGTTATAGAGGATACAATTTATGAGGGTATGCTATATTGCTTTTACATTTTATTATTATTTGACTTTGTATTCGTCTTTCAAAATAAGAATAAAATATTGTACATTTAAATCAGAATTTAAATTATGTTTAAATTATTTGAGACAGTATTTAGACAAATTGATATGTCATACACTCAAAAATATTATTCTCTATTGTTTTTGTAATGGGTGATTTTACTCCAAGATTACCCAAAAACATAAAAAAAAAATGATTCTGCAGAAAAAAGTCTATGTGGCGAGTGGCCCGCCCCGAGAGAGAAAACAAACAGTGCGCTGACAATTGACATCCTCTCAATGTAAAAATTATAATACCTACCTAAAAGTATATATTATTATTATATTGGTACTCCTATCTCACGTAACTATACTTTACTTTATCAATATACTTATATAGAGTTTAGACACTTGTTGGTCATTCCGTTGATAAAAAAGTAATTTCCTAAGATACAGCCGGATACAGCTCTATTGTCTCTATTATCTCTAGGTAATTGTGTCAGATGCATAAAATACCTAATTTAAGATAAGAAAAAAGGAAGTAAATATATAAAAATAGTAATAGGTAGGCTATAAATATTTTTAAATAATCTAGGTATGGTATCATTAGCTAATAATAATTGCATATACTTTTTAAAAATGAAGAACCGCTAAGAATGTGTAGGTTTGGAGACCACAAGTTTGTCTATCAGAAGTTGTTATATTCTGCGATAAAAGGACAACATAGACAGACCATTGAGAAGTACCAATGAAACCTAATTATTATATTAATTATTTGTTATTTTGTTATCCAAAATCTACCCAATATCCTAATATTAATGGCTGTATGACAAATAAAATAACGGTACCTACATACTACATTCCTAATAATGTTTTATAAAAAAATTACATAGAGAATGTTATAGATCCATACATCTATAACAATTTACATTTTACACTCATAAGTCATAAGTCATACCATTATAGCTTCATACATTCATTACATTCTGGAATCAATTTTAAATATCTTATTTGCTGTGTGTATCGTTTTGGTTTTATTTCTTGTATTTTATAAGTAGGTAATGAATAATAAAGTTATAAATTATAAGTCTAAATTACTAAATTGTGGGGGAAATAATTATATATACAATTATAAAAGAAATCTATAAAAAAAGGAACAAAAAAAAAGTTTTAAAAATGAAAGCCTGTAAGCATTGTCTCAGTTACTACATTTTAAAATGGTCATAACTTGCTTTAAAAATAAAATATAAGAAAAATAACCTGTGTACATAATACTTACTTCTAAATTTGATAATATGTTAATTCACTCTAATATTAAACATATTAACCGAGATTTTAACATACCTAGTTAAATGGATTATTCAGAATAGGTACCTATACAATTTGGCATTTGCTATGTTAAGTGTTTGTATGACTGAATCAACACATAGTATTCTCTTAAAAGCATTAGGTAAATTTTAAACTCAGATAGGTAGATAAATACATACCTATACTTGTAGTGAATAGTAAGTATCTAAAATCATTTTTGTTTTTAATTTTTATGATAGAAGCTTATTTTTGCTAATTTTGTCTTACCTACCTATTTATAAAAAATACATGTTCAAGGACTAAAATCTACCACTGAAATAGAAGTTCTGTAAAGGATAATTTCTTTGCTCAAAACTACCGATTACTTAACATAATTTACCGAGTAATTTACCAATTGCGCTGAATGTAAAAATTGTTTCGATTGTGAAATATAAACCTATATAAAAATACTAATAGTAGGGTCTTGGAAACCATATTTACCACAAACTAAATAGTAATATAGTGATATCTCCATACATGAATTGTTATAGTTGATATATTTTGGTTTCTATACCATTGGATTTGGAGCACAGATCTATATATTTGTCTATATTATAGGTACCTTATATCAAACACAGATTAAATCTATAAGTAGGTAATAATTATAGAAATACTCTTCAATAACTTATGTCAAGTATCTTCACAGATAATTACTAATTTATAAGCATTGATAAAACTGATTCTTATAAAAAATATTATTTTGGAAGCTAATTTAAATAATGATTTATATAGTTTCCTAGTGAATAATTTAAATACCATTGGAACACTGGCAAACACAATTTTATTTTTATTTGTTGCAGTTTAATTTAAAAGAATCGAGTAGTAAGTAAGTAAGAAATATTACACAATCATTCTAATGAAAAGCTTAGCGTCTATAAAACTATAATAATATGTTTGGTAGATATCGAGTAGATACCAATAGCTAGGCTGAAACATTAAATAACCAACGATAATCCAATTACCTATCTAGTTTAATAATCCAAAGTGTAGGTACCAGTGTAGGAATAACAATAATCATAGTAAATAGGTACCTACCTATTATTAAATTACCTACCCATAAAATCATGAAAGTTTTTTATTGTCTTTAATAGATTTACTAGGATAACTATAGATCCTTTATGAGTTATAAAGGAAAACACATAACATTTATCAAAATTTAATTTTTTTTTATGTAGGTAATACTTAATTGGGTAGGTAGTAAGTACCTATTGCGTTAATATATATATATTTTACTAACCTTAGGTATTTCTTCACTTTCTAGTAGACTTTGTAATCCACTTTTAATCAATTGTGGACAAGCTATTAAATCAAATATAAAACATGATCCGTCTTCATTTACCACTTGCATTAAGGTCAACTGACCATTGGCTCCAATATATAGACCTTCAAAATCTATACCAATAGCTGACTTTTGTGCCAAAATTCTATCGACAATATTTGAACATTCTTTAGTACTTGTTATTACTTTGATATTGTTCAACATTTTTCCTTTCCATGCATCACTATCATCATAACCATTTGGTATTTTGTTATTTCGCTCGGTATTGTCTGCAATCGTTTTCATAACCAAATTGTTAATTCTTTGTTTAAGGGATTGATTATTGTTTGGTATTGGTTTGGGTAGTGGCGGAGACATAGGCGGAGTTAATGGTACAACTTCTGTGGGAATTCTAACGATTTTAACTTCTGGTTTAGGACCATTTTTTGCCAACGTTATTAAATTGGATTGCGTATTAAACTGTTCAGGATACATTTTCAAAAATGTAAACAAATCTGATGGAGTTTTAAAAATCGGTGACCAAGTATTTTCTGTAAAACGCAAGGAAATACTGTGGAACATTTGATCAGTTAACATCGGTCCTTTGCATTCCAAGCATTGTACACAAAATGCTAAAAGACGTTTTGTGATTTCTGGATCAATTTTTGTTTCACGTTGGTCGCTGTCATCATACATTTTACGCTCTAGTCCTGCATACTCAGTTAGAATAATGGTGTCTTCGCCTACAGTAAATACATCAGGATATTTCATCAGAAAGTCTCTGAATTCTTTTATGTGTAGACCAGATATTAATCGGATCTCTGGTGGAGCTTGAGAACGGTGTCCAAGTAGGCATCGAATCGGTACTTCAGTACCAACCCCATATTTTAACAACTTGTCTTTAAAATAATGGACGGCTTTGTTGTTATAATTAGTATCTGATGGTACAGGTGCAAATAGCTGAGACGCGGCAACTAGGTCTCCTTCCAACGTGAATAACGACGGGTGCTGTGACAGGAACTTCTTTAGGCCTGACTGAGATCCGCCAGCGATCTGTCGCATCTCTTTGGTAAATCCTTTCGAACCAAATTGGCAACTTAAGTCGTGCAGGGATCGTGGTGTGCCCTTGTCTACCAATTTTTCGAAAAAGAACAGCAGCGTTTCGTTTCTCACCGATTCGTATTCCGAACTGTCCATTATATAATATTATGTTCGACCCTGGTGGTAATTATTGTTATGGCTCCGCTATGTGGTCGATTTGACGGTTTCAATATTGGTGTTTTATTATTTCCATTGGTAGGTAGGTAGTGGCGGCCTAGCCTATTGTCGCGTAGATCGTCGGGTCGCCCCGAACAGCTTCGACTCGCCGAGCTGATTCATTTTCGGTGGGTAGTTTTTTAGAGACGAGAAATAATTAAAACTGAGAATAGACGTAAAAACAAAAAAAATAAATAACGTTCACCTAAACTACACGTCTACACAGCGCACACACCGGTCACACCGGCCGACGGAACGACGTACGAATACCAAAATACTATGAGTATTGGCTGGCGGGAGCGGCGGCGCTAGTGCACTGGCACAGTGGCACGTCTGGCACACAAAAATGTTAAAACACCGTCGCCGCTCGCCGAGTGCCGACGACCGTCGACGACGACGATTATCGCGTGCGGTGACGGCCCATGTGGGGCGGGTCGGCGGGAGGGGGTCGACCTTGAACATCAGCTATCGACGTTGGCAACTCTATGCCAGACAAGATAATACGCGGCGACTTCAACTGCAACACATACTTCTATTTACTAGTGTGGTATAATAATAATATAGAAATCTCTGTGAAATACAACTGTCTGGTACTCTCACTGCTGCAGTAGTACGGTTTAATACTATAATAATATTATTATTAAGCCGTAGGTACATAAATTCAATCATTTACATGAGTAGTGATATTTATTTATGCTGGTATCGATTGTTTTTTTTGATACAAGTATCAGTGGCGTAGACAAGGGGGGGCGTAGGGTCAGACCCCCCCCATTGGCTTATTATTACCTTAGTAAAAAAGTTTTGAGAGGGTGGGGGATTTTCTAATTTTACCCTCCCATTTAGAAATGTTATTTTTTTTTTTTGATTCCCCCCCCTTTCAGAAATCATGTCTACGCCACTGACAACTGACAAGTATACAACTCACCTATATTGCTATATAACTGTATTATATTAAATATTATGTAAATCGTATTATAGTAAAATTTGAAAATTTGAAAATGCTAATATAAATATATTTAGTGAACATTTCGAAAATGCCTACGATTATTCGTTTTTGAAATACAACAAAATATCAAAAATTGATTAATAGGAATTCGATAATTTACTGCTGAAAAATGTATGTTATGTTTAAAGTAAACTTTTTGTTTTGTTACAGGTTAAAAGCTTGTATGTAATCTTCTGTTAAAATGTTTAATCTTGGTTATGAAAAGAAACAATTTTATGCATTTTTAACTAAAATATAATTTACAAAATTTTTAAACAATTTTCGTGGCTATATATTATTTAAGAGGACGTTGCTCTCGCATGTGTCTCTCCGTCTTACAAAATATGTACAACATACAGTGACGGTATTTAGGGGGCGAATGTGGCGCTCAACCCGCCTGGGATTTTTTTTTGCATGAACTTTTTTTAATTGAAATTACACTAAATGCTTGAATTGCTTTAATTATGGTGGGTAGAGGCCCAAAAATTTAAAATAGCCCCCCTTGATGTTTTATCAAAACCGCCACTGACAACATAGGAAAAACTGTTTTGCGCGGGAAAGAACCGAGAACACTACAGTCATAAGTCATAACTAAGAAACGAAATTTTCACCCCATAACTTTTGCTGTGCAATTAACTCTCCAAAATCATATTGGGGGGGAAGACTGCTGGTTTAGGGTTATTTGTTTTTGAATTACAACAAAATATAAAAATCCATGGATTAAAATTTTAAAATTCTTTAATTCACCAGTGAAAATCCAATATCTTAATAATTTTAAATTCAAACCCTCATAAAAATAATTAATGTTACTTTCCGGAAGATTTTTTTTTTTTTGTTCTAGGTAGAAAAGTCTCTGGGGAATCTTCTATTAAAATGTATAATGTTAGCTATATGAAAAGAAAAACTTTTATGAATTTCTAAGTGAAAAAAGTCGAGTAAATTAATTTTGTCAAAATTTGAACTTTAAATACCTACGACCTACCCATATAAAAAATAATCGTGCCTACCAATTTTGGTAGTACAACACATGAATATTCTATTGTATGTATTTATGAATAACACATAATATATATCAAAACCACCTCCCATAAGGGTTTAAGAATTATAGTATTTATAATTCTTGATAATTATACTAATTATAGTATAAATAATATTACGTAGGTATATAGAAAGTTATCAAAGCATCGAAACTAATAAAAATAGATTTAATACTATAAAAATATAAAAATTAATATTCTTTTGCTTTCCATGAAAAGAAGGAACCCAAGATCTTGAAGATCTATTATATTTATGGACCCTGTGAAAATCACACGTTAATGGGTGTATGGTGAATCTTGCGTGGTGAATACGACAATAGGGCTTATAAATAATGTAAAAAAAAATTAAAATTAATTGGTTTTGTACGCATATTCATTTTTGGCTACATAGGTACAGCAAAAAAACACAATTAATCGCATCGTAAAGTGGTATTGAGTAAATATCCTGATTTTTTTTTTTAATTTTCCTGATTATATTGAAAAATACTAAGCATTTTTAGTAATTATTAACGACAATTAATAATGACTATAGGTATGAATATTTTTAAATATACCTAGTTTATCTGAACACAATTCAAAATCTATACTTCAATATTAAAATGTCTTTGTTTTATGCCTTTATAACTTTTAATAGTGATATAAGTACCTTGGTACTCATTATTTCAAGATGTTTATTAAAATTTATATATAATTCATTTTTAGAAAAATCCAATCCTATACAATTTTATGCTGTCCATATTATTTTACCCATATCTATTGGCAAGACCGGCTTTTGCAAGGAGATCAAGACCCCCTTCTACAAAATATTTCTTATTACTAAATCTTGATTAAAAAAACTTATTTTTCAATTTTTGTACATACCTATCTAGAGAAATATAAAAATATATATTAATTATTAAGTAATGACTAAATAGAAATTATAACACTTTTTTGCCTAGCATTATATATTTTAGAACCATATTTTTAAAATTTAGATTTTAAACAAATAGTTTAGTTGAGCCCTTATTTCTTATCCTAGTATACCTCTTATCAGTCTAAACTTTAAGAGCTATAAAATTAAAAATATCATTAATTTTAATATTTTACGGTGATAAATCTTTAGCGTGGATCTATAATGATAAATTTGGTGGCTCAGTCACAGAAGTGGACAACACTATTGCAGGTGAATTTACTGTTGGACCTCCAAATGACGTTATGAAAATGTTGACCACCGTTATGAGGAATATACCAACAATGACATAGTTTCCCAATTTAAATGCCATCTTTCGTTGGTCACAATTGGTCACATTGTACCGAGCACTCAGTAAAAGCGCTACGCCAACTAAAATCTAATACGGCCAAGCTCAATTATTAGCAAATCTAAAATTAACAATTAGTATAATTACCTGTAAAAATATGCTACACAACAAAAGCACAACGCAAATGACATAAAGGGCGCTACCATCGCTATTTTCTAATACATATCTTAGTTGATTTGCATTTGCAGAAAACAGTGCCACGTCCATCATACCATGAGACAATAACTTTTTATTTCTGTATAAGTTAAATGCTTTTGGTGTATCTTCATCCATATTTCCGATCACCTGGAATTTGATTTTCTTTAGCATTAATTTCATTATATTAATATTCACCTCACAAATAACCATAAGCTTATAAATATGTGGATTGTGGATACATTAATTATAAGTTTAAACGCTCATAAAATTTTATTTGATTACTGTTCTGTTATACAGTGAATTTTTTTTTTACATAGGTAGAATAACTCGAGTGAAATCTTCTATTAAATTTTTAATCTTAGCTATGAAAAAAAACCTTAAGTAAATTTCTAACTAAAAAAGGCTTTCTAAAACTAGTTGGAATTTTCAATTTTGACCTCTCAAAAGTACCAACTAGATTCATTTATCTGTCAGAATTTCTGATTTTATTCGGTAAAGATGCTGATCTCAAAAATTTGAGTGTTGTTTTTACCCCAAATGTCGACAACAGACAGAAAAATAACACACATCGTTGTAAATTCAATACATTCTTTCGCTCCGCTCAGAATCAACAATTTTTAAAAAAATATATAAAATACGTAATACGTATTTAAAATTCCGCTATCATACCTCATTGGCCATAACAGTTTGGTTCGGCAATAAATTGTCGTCGTCTGCCGAGAGTATTTTGTCGTTTTGATTATTTACTGCAGATGACATTTCAGAACCGTTTGCATTCTTGTGACCAGCCGAAAAATCTGCTGCAGAACTCCGATTTGCAGCAACCATTTCGTTCATCTCTAGTTGTAGTGGCTTAATGTCGGTCGATCCGTTAGGTGTTCGTCCTGCACTCCTGTGTTTTAACTTTGGCTCAACAGTCTTGAGATTATTATTCGTGTGCACTCGATATCGATCCTTCGAGACCTGTCGTTCAGTACTGCAGTCGGACGGAAGACGTGCAGGCATTGTTTTTGCTCAGCTTCTGTTCGAATCCATAGTTTCAATAAATGTCCACCTGCCAACGTGATTTCCAATATTCAGTTTGCGTTTATAAAAACAATGTTATTATATTATTATGTTAGTAGCAGGGGATTCCTGTGTTTAGTTGCTTTATTCAAACAGTATCGTAAATTGTTCACCTTGAGAACATGTGCGCTTAACGTTTATAATATATATAAGGAGCAATATTACTTAATGAATAATACAATTACTACTCATTTTAGTTATTACGTATACAATAATAACAAATGTATCATTTCATTCACATATTTTCTTAGTATTTCTTTATAACGCAATTATACTATTATAGGTACATAATTCAATAAATCATTTTTTTTAATTCCAGGTGTGCATTATTATTACTTTATTGACAACATATTTTACGGTGTGACAAATTATATTGTTTTAAAAATGGTTAAATAGTACCTATACAATATTATATATTTGTACGATTTTCGATAAGTTTAGAAACTCAAAAATAAATGTAATATATATATTAAATTATATTAAATTTTTGATTATTTATCATAATATAATTGTTTTTATTATTCAGAAACAAAATATGTTTTATCTTAAATAAAATTTAACAGTAATATAGGTACCTATATAATATAATAAAGTATCATAATAAAGGCATACTATATTATTATGTATCAATGTTTATCGATATATTAAATAAATATCAATATAAATTAACAAAAATATAATAAATGTTTAAAATTTAAGCTCCTCCTGGAATTCATTGAAATCCCTCTAGTGGTTCTCAAATTACCAAGTTGATCACTGTTTGAGAAGTTTAATCTGAATTAAAATACATTGAATTGAGATTGAATGACCATTATGGCATTGGTTATAACTTATAAATTCTATATTTTAATATTTACGATCAATGATATTGTAACGGATGTTTTCTTTGTATAGGTTTTGTAGTTTTGTAGGTTACTCCTCCTACGTATTTTATTTCCTATTAGATTATTTTATCTGTTTGTGTTATAAGTAGAATATTAATTAGGCTATTTTATGTATTATGTTGTAAAATAGTCACAGTAAATAACTTTATGGGTTCAGATAACATTTAAAGAAAAGGTAGGTATAGATAGTGTCTCTGCTGTATAGTATAGATACTAGCAGGGCCTGATTTACCAATTTATGGGCCCGGTACAATTTTCAATTTTGGGCGCCAAATTATCCATCTCTATACTTTCTTCAATGCTAAAATTAAATGAATGCATATTGTATTTTTAAATTAGTTACATACACATGAGTAGTTAGATCATACAATACCTACAATTGTATTGTTAATTATTTGATTATATTTTTATATATAAGAATACTTTACAATTTTTTAATGCGTCTATAATTAATGTTTAATTCAAGTACCTACCTAAGTATACAAATTAAAAAGCAAAAGTATTTTTTTGAAAAAAATTAGTATTATAAAATTTAGTATTTTTGATTATTACACTTATATATCAAAGTAAATGTTTTTAAATTGAATGTTGTAAGTCAAATTTGATTTCAGCTAATCAACTTTCACAAAAATTTCGATTGTGCACCATATATAGTAGATAAACCATAGTTTAAAGTAAGTTATAAACGTAAATTTATCTAAACTACCGTGCAAGTAGTTTTTTTTATTCATGTCTCATCTATCCTTTAATTTTCTCTTCATTGAACCAATTAAGTATTTTTTTGACATTTTAAATTATTAAAAATAATAAACAAATGACGAATAGATATACAATAAATACGACTGACGTAGGTATATCACGTAACAACGCAAGACAATGACGTCAATAGTAATATTACGACGATAATAAATGCAATTAGATTTTGTTGTCAGCAAACTCGTTTTTTTCAGGGAAAATTAATTTTAATTTATAACCCACCAATATATGATAATATCCAAGTAAAATCCAAATTTATTTTGTTTTTCTATAGTATGATAAAAAGGCAAAGGTGGGCGCATTAACTAGTTGAAAAGTTAAAGTTCAGTTAAAAAGTTAATTTTTTTTTTAACTTTTTAACTTAACTAGTTAGTTTATTTTCTAATCGACTTATGAACTTAAATAGTTTAATTTACAATTGAAATAACTTAGCTTTACTCAGTTGATTTAAAAAAATCCATTAAGTTAAAACATTTTGAAATTGTTCGTTTATACTTAAATATTACGAATTTCGAACGCTCATAAAAATTTAATTTGACTTTCTTATACACATTTTTTTTTTTGATAAAGGTAGATAATCTTATAAGGAATCTTGTATTATATTTTCAAATCTTAGATTTAAAAAGAAAAATTTGTATGAATTCTTAACTCAAAATAATTTGCTAATTTTCGTCATTTTTCCATATTTTGTCAATTTTTGAATTTTAAATGCTTATAAAAAAAATTGTGACTAAGGATTTTTAATATTTTTCATTTGCCTTTGAAACAATATACTAATAGCCCTCTATTTAATTTTCAAGCTTTTTTAACCAACAAATACAATTTTATTGATATTTTTAGAAAAAAAACTAAAAAAAGGTGGGTAAGTGGATGTCGCTCTGCTGTACAGTAGGTTACAAGTGGGTCACTGTATAATGGATGCTATTAAATTTGAATTCAATGATACAATATCATTGTATAAGAAAAACGATTCTGAGCGAAGACGGTATGTCAGTCTAGGTTTAATACAAATTATATACATATCTATGGTATTAAAAAAAAAATTGACCTATAATAAATTCCAAATTAATCATATCACATTATCACAATATCCATTAGGTACTTATAACACGTTATACATCAACATCAACAACAAACCCTGATACTATCATATATATATAATAGTACACTTTAGAAGTTTCAAGTAGGTACCCACGAATAATATTATATAATCACAACAAAATAACTAGGTTTTTTAATATGTAATTTCGTCCAAATTTGAACATAAAATGACTATAAAAGTAAACTGTGATTGTATATTTTTTAGATTTTTCGGTAAGAGAATTAACTACTTACTTAATCTTGTTTTAAATTTTCAATCCTTAGCTATAAAAACTGAACATTTTATAATTTATTAATTACGATGATTAATAATTTTCGAGATTTTGAAAAATTCTATCAAAATTCGATGTTAAAATGCTTATAAAAAAAAATTGTGCCTATGTATTTTTAATATTTTTCAACTGATATTGTAACAATATATCAGGAGCCTTGTATTAAATTTTTACACTTTTTGGCCCAACAGATAAAACTTAATTGATATTTATAGAAAAAAAAAACTAAAAAAATTGAAAACTGAAAATGTCCGTAAACGGCTCAAAAAGTGTCAAAATATTTTCAAAATTGTAGGGTGTATAGGAAATGCTAATATAAACATTCAGTGAAATTTTCATGTATCTACAGTAATTCGTTTTTTAATTACAACAAAAAAAGGAAATTGCCACATGAGAAATCGAGTGAATATCCAATGTTGTAAAAATTTGAATTTCAAACGCTCATAAAAATTTAATTTGACTTTCCGGTAGAAATTTTTTTATTGATAAAGGTAGACAATCTTATGAGTAATCTTGTATTAGATTTTCAAATCTTAGATTTAAAAAGAAAAATTTTTACGAATTCTTAACTCAAAATAATTTGCTAATTTTCGTGATTTTTCCATATTTTGTCAATTTTTGAACTTTAAATGCTTATAAAAAAAAATTGTGACTAAGGATTTTTAATATTTTTCATCTGCCTTTGAAACAACATATTAGGAGCCTTCTATTAAATTTTCAAGCTTTCGCAACCAACAAATAAAATTTTATTGATATTTCTAGAAAAAAAACTAAAAAAAAACTAAAAATGAAAATGTCCCTAAACTGTTCAAAATAAATCAAAATATTTTGAAAATGTTATCGTGTATAGAAAATGCAAATATAAACAACCACTGAAAATTTCATGTATCTACGGTTATTTGTTTTAAAGTTACACCAAAAACCAAAATCGATTTTTTGGAAAACCGATTTTGCGTAAAAATTCCCGTTTTTCCTTAATTTTTATGTTGTTTTTCCCGGCGCTCTTGAAAACTACTGGGAAATTTAAATTTTGACCTCCCCAATGCACCAACGATATTCACTTTCCAATCGAACAAGATACTGAAGTCGAAAATCGAAGCATTATTTCGACTACTTATCGTGTACACAGACACAAAAATAAAAAAATAAAAAAAAAAAAAAACACACATCATTGTAAAATCAATACATTCATCGTTTCACTCAGAATCTAAAAATATGGAAAATGAAAATGTTCCTTAACAGTTCAAATCAAATCATAATATTTTGAAAATTTTATCGTGTACAGAAAATGCTAATATAAACATTCAGTCAAAATTGTATGTATCTACGGGCATTTATTTAAGGGTTGCACCAAAACCAAAATTATTTTTTTCGAAAACAGTTTGTGTGTAAAAATTCCCGTTCTATTTTAATTTTTCTTTTGTTTTTCACGGCACTTTTTAAAACTACTAAAAAAATTATACTTTTGACTCCCCAAAGTACGAAAATTCCATTAGATGGATAATTACGAACGTTTGGATGTATTTTATAAATATTTCGCAGAATTTCTGGCAGAGTATTCATTCATAAGTACAAAACACATTAACACACACACATATTACGTAAATATTCATATTCACATCTAAGTTATTAAATTAATTTGGATGGGGTAACCTCGTTTAACTACATTTACGATAGTAAAAAAGTATTTTATGATTGACTATCAATTATCATGATAATACTAATGAATATTGAGGGGAGTAGTTTCAGAGTAGTCAAGTGGCTACCATGACTACCCCGTGAGCACCACTGTGTGTATTATTTTATATTATACATTTGAGGTACTTTATGAAACACATTTATATCATATTGAAATCAATTCAATTATAATTGTTGAGTTCAACGAATAGAACAATTTAACTAACGAAAAAACCTAATTAAACACAAA